TTCGGCAAAAGAACAAAACGCTCCATTTCACTTCCTTCCAGTCCGCCCGAAAGGCCATCTCCGGTTTGTAGCTGCGGAGCACAGACCAGACGCCCGAAGAGGGGGACACGGGCAGAGCTGCGAAGAAGCGCGTCAGGGCGGCGTGAGCATGGTGCCACTCAGCTCTTTCAGGAGCTCCGGCGACTCGTCAGTGTACTCGGCCACCCATCGCTTCCATTCGTCCAAATGCATCTCTGTTCCTATGATCTGCAGGCCCCATGCGACTGCCAGTTAAAACAGTAGCAATCTCGCGCCCGCTCCAAAATAGCCGCGAAGGCTTTTTGCTAAAGGGAAATTCCCATTCCCGTGGCTCAAAATTCTTCTGCTGTAGGAGTCTGACTCGCTCTCGCCTTCCCGCCCTTTGCGAGATAGACACCCACCTTACACTCCTTGGGAAACATAATTTTTCTTCATGCTTGTGGAGATTCTTAATCATCCAAGTCAAGATGGTCCCAAAGTTGCTTTTTCCAAAAGGCAACTGGATTTTCTTGTTTTTTTCCCTTGGAAACGTTTCGCTTTTCATCCAAAAAGGTTTTCCAGTTCTGCAGCTGTAATGAGAACTGAAGAAGCTTCTGGGATGAGAAGCAAAACACTTTCAAGGGGAAAAAAAACCAAGAAAGTCAAGTTGTCTTTTGAAAAAGTGCCTTTGGGGTGATCTTTGTTCCTTTGCTGCATCGCAGTTAATGCCTCTGCGGAATGTACTACGCCTTGCCTTGCCTTGCCTTTCCCTCCCTTTATACTTTTTGTACCCAGCTTATTCGTTCAACTCTCACACAAGTTATATGGAGCAAATACAGCTGCTAAGTTCTTTCTCCCTGTAGGAAATGTGTTTCAAGTAGGAGCAGCTGTGTGTAGTGTAGCAAGGTGCTATGGCACCTTGTGAGAATTCGCTGCATGCTTCAGTAAGGAGTGTCTCATGATCTAATTTCAAACCACCAAGGATAGAAAATCTGGAAAATGCCACAGGATAAAAGATCATTTTGAGTAGAATCAAAATATAGGTTAAACATAATGAGAGGGGAAGGAAAAATAGAAATAAAGTAAAATGTGTAAATGTATACAAGGATTTGAATATTTATTTATAAATGTATATTTATATACATGTATATACATTTATAAATATACATTTATAAATATTCTTTTAGAAGTTTAAAAACTAAATCCTGCCATCTTAGAAAGACAAGCTTTACTTTTACTAGTGATGGATTACTGTCATTCTAATGCTTTCCAGTAAGCAGTTTCAGATAATTATGAGGTGCAAAAGTAAACATAATACAACCAATTAACTTTACTGCTCAACAAAATATGAATACTGGGTAGCATTTACAGAGCATTCTCTCACGTCTAATTCTTTTCAGATGACAAGTTAATTTTTAACAGTGGAATGTTTCTGGGTATAACAAAGTCAACTTTCAAGCACTTTTGTGTGTATTGATTAATGTGAATTAACTTAAAAAGTTATTAAACAGCTATGTCAAGTAAAAAACTGAGCAAACCTGCAATTTAGATACAAGTTGAACAGGGTAGCACAAGAACAAGATAAAATATTGTTAAGTTCTCAGTAACTGTCCTATCAATAGTCCAGGAAAAGATGTTCCTAGTGTGCAATACTACTTCTCTTCCATTCTGAATGTCAAGTCTCATCCTTAAGAGACCAGGCTAAGAAATCCATTTAGGAAAATAATATATTAAGAAATGAATACTGAGTTGTTATTATGGTTTTCCCTTCCCTCCACTCCATCTGGAATTCTGAGAGTAATGAAACCCATTAACTTTACAGCCTAGCTTCTTCTTAATAAACAATTATTGCATTACATTCTACCTAAGACACTGTTTTTCAGAAACCCAATTTAAAGTAATATTTGTGCTCTGCCAGACATTGCCAAACTACAACTAGCATCCCACACAAGCATGGGAATGTTCCCAACTTAGTTAATATGGCAAGCTTCTTTGAAGAAAACCTTCTGGAATTCAACAAAATGCTGTGGTTGAGAGGGAAGCCTTGACAAGAACTTTGGAAAACCTGGTCTAGCCAGTCTGGTAATTCCCTATAGTATTGTCACAACTGGATTCTGTGACACAAGAGAAAAATCTCTCCAGAGTTACTTTTTTTCCTGAGAAGACAAAGTTATTTCAAATGGTGGTTCAATCAAATCAAATGCTAGATATAACACGATAAAATTATTTTTTGTGCATGGTAGAACTGACCAACTTGGACAAAGCAATGAAGTGTAACTTTAATACATTTATACAATGTATATCACAATGTCACAGTTGTACAAATAATTTCTGATTTCTCTTCCAAGAACAGCTGTAGAAGATAAAAAGAAATTCCAGCATGTCAAGCATAGTAGAAAAATTAAAAAAGGCAGCTCATTTTAAATAATACCATAATCTGGTCTGGCAACAAACATTACATTATTATTGTTTAGGTGTAAAATCTTCTAACATGCAATTTACAGTTCAACATGCAAAACTCTCAAATAGTTTGTTTTTTAGCGACTGTCTCTTCCTCAATTGCATGAATATGTACATCTAAGAAAGTAGGCATATTGCTTCAATCAGAAATCCATATAAATTACAGTTGTTGAATATTTAGAATATTAATTCAAAAGAGTGTAATACATTTATTGTAAGTTGCAAAGATGTTAAAAAGAAATATACTGGATCAGTTGAAAAGTAAGTATAGTAAGCACTTGATATTTATTATAGAGAAAATTGCTTAGATAAGTAGGTGCAGTGTGAAAGAATGTATGTATACGGTATATCTATATAGATAAATATTTAGATAGATATTTAGATAGATATAAAATCTATGAATAGGATTTCCTTCTGAGTAGGTATTCACAGAATTGCATTGTAAGGCTTGAACTGACACTATTATAGTTTTCCTTCCTTCCATTCAATATCTGATTTTTGGTGACTGGACAAATTCCTACAGTTTTCCTGACAAGGTTGTTTAAAAATGGTTTGCCATTTCATCTTTCCTAGGGCTAAGAAAAAGTGACTGGATTAAGGTCACCCAGCTGGCTTTATACCCAAGGTGGAAGTAAAACTCCCAGTTTTTAGCCTGATGCTTTAACAATACTGGTTCTTATTATAAATATTACAGAATACCAAATACGAAGGCTGATTGACAGTATCAATATAAAACAAACAAATGACCATATGACCACTTTCCAACTGATGCTTGTAATCTAATTAATGGAGCAGTTTGGCAATATAGTATTCTAGACTCTAGAGCACTCTGAACAGCTCTACATAGTGTTGATATAATATGGGAAGAATTAACCAATTTGTAACATGGAAGAAAAATACTAATCAACTATCTGAAAATTTTGCCAATAAGGGCAAGATTTTGTATTACCTTACATTCCGAAACAACTATCCCTTAGAATAAAGAATCAATGCTTGATACTTTGTTAAAAAAACAGAATTTTATAATAAGTGCTCTTTTACAATAAACGTTAATTTAGAAAACATGCTTTTAAAACAAGTTTTAATCATTTGTAGTACTCTTTCATAGGATATCCCCCTTGCAAAAAGAAATGCCAACATTTTCTTTTCTCTTGGCTATTCACTTCTCACCTGTTTATTTGCTTGTCACCAACAATACAAAAATGTAGCATTATTCTAAATACTTTAGAGGCCAAATCCATAGTATTAGTTACTTGGTGAATTATTATTTCAAGATGGCTGCTACTGTATTTCAGATTATCACTTTGCTCTCAGGCAACATATTTCAGAGGACTGATTATGATCCTCTGAAGGAGAGGAACTGTTTGATGCCCATATAAAATGATTCTGAAAGGCTCAAAGTATTCTTAAAGCAGGGGGGAAAAGCCTAGATCTTTAAACTGGAGTAATCCCAAACTCTGTTTATTTGCATAAAGAAGGAAGTGCTATTTTCCACACAAAGGAACAGAGTCATAATCAATTCTGCAGTCTACTAATTTACTTTGTACTGCATCCATAACATAAATTTTGAAATAATTAATTTTCAAAATACAATTCTTCTAGTGCTTACATGGACAATTAAGCAAATGCAATAGAGAAAACTTGTGTGTTGGTTTTTTTTTTTATATTTTCTAAAGCAAGGTAAACAAAAACCCAAAAATACTGCTTTATACTGCACCTTTATCTATAATAGAGAATCACCCATTCTTGTTTAATTAGATACTTTCATAATATTTTCCCCTGGATTTCAGTTTAATTGCTATGCCTGGTTACTTCTGCACTACACTGTGTAGTTCTTTGCATATGATTCCAAAAAGGCACTTTTTGAACATGCAAATGTGCGAATGTATCACCTGCACACAACTCTTTAAAACAGTAAGATCATTTCCTGGGTTCATACAGCTGACCTTTGAGGCTACTTTCACATTACTATCCACTTTAAAACATCATAATAGAATTGAATCTGAAGCATTGAACAATCCTATTATTTGAATAAATATTATACATTCGACTAAGAGAGATGCTTGATTCAAAAATTGTGCAGAACAAGAGTATAGGAATGTATTTCAGGTATGAAATATCAAGTGATTAAAACTAGCCTTCCAGGAAAGTTGAGAGATAATGAAAAATGTTGCATTTTGAAAACTAAGCTCCATTTATGAGAATGTGTTTAAGAAAGCAGAAGTTATTTCTAATATTAAAAACCCAGGCACATCCTTCAAACAATGCCTAACCTTTGGTATCCCCTTTGCAAAAATCATAATTCAATTACATGTAACTTAATAAAATATATTAATTTTCCTGATGATTTTGTTTATTTTTATTCATTAGATTTTTTTTTATCTTGCCTTTATTTTTTTAGAAGGCAAGGCACAGAATATACCATATACTGCTTCTTCCTCTTATTTTCCCCACAACAACTCTGTGAGGTGAGTTGGGCTGAGAGAGAGTGACTGGCCCAAAGTCACCCAGCCGGTTTTCATGCTTAAGGTGGGACTAAAACTCACAATCTCTTGCTTTCTAGGCCAGCACCTTAACCACTACACCAAACTGGCTCTCCATATATACTAAGCATGGCTCCCTCTGATATTAGAACAATGGGTACAGAAATAACCTTTAAAAAAATCATACTAGCATTTGCAACAGTTCAAAAGTCTAAGATACATCTTACATTCAATCAGAATTACACCATGTAATTTTGTCTGAAATTAAGACAAATGACATAATTTTAGACAAAAATACTATTGGGGAAAAAATACATGATTTCAATATCTTTCCAATTATTAAAAATATTCCCTAGAATTAGATCAGTCCTGGATCTTCCATAGTTTTTTTTAACGTTGTAATATGCTACATTACTTCAATGTGATGCACATTCTCCTCCAATACCATTATCTGGTCCTTTTGCATTTCCAGGAACATTCAAATGACCTTCTTCTTTCAGTTTCGTTAGTCTGAAATCTTCTCTAATTTTTTCCAACACATCTGGCTTGAAAATAACATCCAAGGCAGTCATAGCTAAAGCTTTAGCTGCTCTCAAGGCATAGAACTGAGCTTCTTCTGATCCTAGGACAATCAAATCCATAAAAGGTAGAGATTTCATTTCAGTACAAGAGTTATGTAGGGTCTTTTCAAATCTGAATAGAATTCTTTATTCTTTATTGGCCAAGTGTGGTTGGACGCAAGAAATTTGTCTCTGGTGCATAAGCTCTCAGTGTACATATAAGTAATAGTGATAATCATAATCATAAACAACATGAAAATACATTCATCGTAAATCATAAAATACAACACTTTATCATAAATCATAAGATGCAACACTTGGTGATAGTCATAGAATTCTAGCTAAGCAAACAACATAAATCATACTAGGATACTAAAAAACACTATAAATTGTAAGATACAAGTTATAGACATAAGATGATAGGAAATAGGAAAGATTGGTATTATACTAATGCAGCTTTATTAAGTAGTTTGACAGTGTTTTAGGAATTAGTTGTTAAGCAGAGTGACAGCATGGGGGAAAAACTGTCTTTTAAGTTTAGGTGTTCTGGTGTGTAATGTCCTATAGTGTCGTCTTGAGAGAAGACGTTGAAATAGTTTGTGTCCAGGATGTGAGGGGTGTGTAGATATTTGATATTTAAACATCTGAAGGGATGTTTAAAACAATTTCCTTTTTAAAAGATTGCAATCTCAATTCCACTGCAAATAGAGGCTAAAGAACAGTCCTCTCTTACAGATGCAGAGGTATCTACCAATGTAAAATCCACATTATTCAACTAAAAATGTATTTATACATTTGCATTGAGTTGCACTCAGTATCTGTGAGAGAAGAACTCTGCTCACAGGATGCTCTGGTTTGCCTGAATGGCCAGCAGATTTGAGACAAATGGATGCATCTACTTTAACACTTTAGTTGGCAAAAGCTGCCTTTCTCAGGTTCTGCCTTTGCTCAACTTAGAAACCAAGATGAAACCAAGATAATGGGCGTGGGAGTTACCAATTCCACATACTCATTTTATGTCCAGTTCAGAGCCAGCTGCTGTAAAGCCATCAGATCTGAGAAGAAAATTAATCCTTCTTATGCACAGAATATAACTCTCAGTAATGGGTAGAAAGGAAATGCAAGTATAATCTGTACACATGAACTTAGCACCAAAATTAGGCACCCATCTCTATCCCTTCCTTTTACATCCTGAAATACTGGCCTCATTGGAGAGAATGACTGAAGAAGTTGGTAAAGAGGCCATGCTTTTTACCCAATAGAGAACATATCTGGGTAGCTTCCTAGACCAAAGAAGATATTTTTTCTTGTTATCTTGGTAGAGATGTGGATCCTTGTCTGTGGATCCAAATACTGCACGCCTCTGGTACTTACCATCAGTCTTGTTCTACCACTCTCAAAAGGCACTGGCTATCATGACAGAATAATGTGATCACGCAAACTTGATTCCATGTGCATTTTGCCACACAGTTTTCAAACATTTTTTTGTGAAAGATATACACACTTTTAACTACTAACCTGCAGCTTTTGTATACTGCTCAGTATGGTTTAATGCATCAGAACCAATGTAAAAATAGGAGTGAATTCCAGGGACCACATAGCTAACATTTCCAAAGTCAGTAGAACCTAAAGAGAGCCAAAACATGTTTAGGTTTTGGAATATACCAAACAGTCTACAAGGTGAAATATTATTGTATGGTTTAGCAAATAAAAGTATTATTAAAGGGTACAGCAAATAAAAATATTCAGCTCCCGTATAGGTCCTCCTCCACACACTAAGTACCAAGATGCATTTTTAATACATCAAATGATAGGATTTCTAAGGTTTTGTCCCTCCATTTTAAGAACTTGGGAAATTGAAACAATGAGGAAACAAGAACCCTTGTTAAAAATTGACACTTCCAACTCATGGCCAGCCTACCATTCAGCATAAACAAACTGAATTTAGGTACAGAAGTTTGGTCATCCTGTCAATCAACATTAGGTGACGCCTCCTTTGACAGAAGAAAACAGCTTCCAAATGTTTTGGATAGCCAGCTATTTTTGCTTTTTATCTATTCTTGGTTTTGATTTTTTTCCCATTCTTCTTTATAGAATTTTTCTAGCTTAGAAATATCCTTAAGTCAGATCTCATTCATGCATTGCATGTTTCAAAGGTCCCCGCAGATTTTTGATAATACTGATGTCTTGGGACTGTTCCTTGTAAAACTGTCTTGATAATTCTGGATGTATGTTTCAGTATTTCTGAAATATGCAACATCTTTTCAGCTTCTTTGCTGACTGTGGGATATTAGCTTTTAAGATATATACATATTTCATTAAACCCATTCTCAACTGCACAGTATTTTCTAGGTCACTGGCTTTCATACATCCTACAAGTATAATAAAGCCACACCCATGTTTAACGGATGCCAAAATGTTTCAGACTTATTGAGATTTGCTTTGGCATAATTTAGGAGATGACAAATGTGATGAGGTCAGAAGAATAGTTTCTTTTGACAACTCTCCCATGCAGATAATTGTTGTATGAACAATATACGAGGGCAATTCAGAAATAAACCTCTGTCTGGTTATCAATGACAGACACTCGCAGATACAGAACGTTTATTATACATATTAGAAAACTACAACATTATTTTTCGACATAATCGCCATCCAAATTGAGGCACTTGTCATAACGTCTTACAAGGTTTGAAATTCCTTAGTAGTAGTCGCTCGGCGCCAAATCTGGACTATGGGGGAGTGATCAAAAACATCCCAACGGAACTGCTTCAAAAGTTCTTGGGTGCGTCTAGCGGTGTGCGGGCGAGCGTTATTGTGAACCAACACCATACTGGAAGTCAGCATGCACTGACGTTTATTATGAATGGCTCATCTGAATTTTCATAACATTTCACAGTAGACTTCTGAATTGATGGTTGAACTACGCTCCAAGAATTTCACTACCATTACTCCTTTGGCACCTTCACATTTGGCGGGATTTTTTATGGCACCATTTCCGGTGTGGTGTTGGTTCACGATAATGCTCACCTGCACACAGCTAGATGCACCCAAGAACTTTTGAAGCAGTTCCGTTGGGATGTTTTTGATCACCCACTCCAATAGTCCAGATCTGGCACTGAGCAACTACTAAGAAATTTCAAACATTGTAAGACATTATGACAAGTGCCTCCATTTGAATGGTGATTATGTCGATAAGTAATGTAATGTTGTAGTTTTCTAATGTGTATAATAAAAGTTCTGTATCTGCGAGTGTCTGTCATGGATAACCAAACGGAGGTTTATTTCCGAATTGCCCTCGTACTAAATGAATCTGAGACAATTATTTCAGTGCTAACCAAACTTTGCACTAGAATGTTTGCTGTGATCTGTGGATTTTTTTTGGCAGATCTGACTAGTTTGAGAGAAGCAAAGATTATTTTTGTATTTCAGACTTCAAAGTTCCATGTAACTTTCATATCTTAACTTTATTTCTTAAGTTGCTAGCTGAAAGTGTTTATAGGGTTTTTGTCTCATTTTTTTTTTTAAAAGCCTTCTCCGCTTCGTTGAAGTAAACTATCTTCATTTTCAAATGCTCAGACAGCTGCTGAGGGAATTATAGTTGCTGAAAATAGAACAACAATAATCAACTGAGAGGTAAGATGGTCAATCTCCTTTTTGAGTTTTAAAAAAATAATAATAAAAAAGTATAAAATCAAGTGGATGGGTGCCAAAACTTTTGTACTTATCATGTTCTCTTTTTAAAGATTTTGAATCTGAAAACAGCTGCACATATATAATAAGCAGAATCCAAATCTGCAAAAGATATTAATTTTGTGTACCCTATAGAGAATTACATCTGCTTCTGTTCAGTTATGTATTCATAGTATTTCTATTTGACCAAGGTGCCATGCCTAAAGAAGTTATATTCTTGAAGAATCGTTTGTGAAAGTGACACAGATGGCAAAATTAACTTGTTTATTAGAATAAAATCAACATACATTTACTAATGACTTGAAACCCCTTATGGACATTTTGCTCAAATAAAAAAGAAAAATGAACTTGTGATTTAAGGCTTTGAATATTAGAAAGGATAGTTTATGGAAAGAAGGAAATTATGATGTAACTGTAGAGAGGGTAAAATATAAATGCATTTATAACTGCTGTCAAAAAGCTCAGAACTCATTTATAATGTTTTCTTTTCTTCTTCTGTTTTATTTCTTTTTCTATTTTCTTTCTTATTCACTATTCTTGTCTTTTCTAATGTTTGTACTATTTTTAAACTTGTTTAAAAATTCTACAATACAAATTGTATATTTATATACTTACCTGTTAACTCATTTAAGTTGTCATTAGAAATGAAGTCTATGCCAAGCTTCTTGCCATTTTCTTTGTAATTTTTTTGTAGAGTCTTATTAGGAAGCACATTGTAGAAATCATTTTCACTATCTTGTAATTCCACCTAGACAAAAAAATAAAATTTCTGTGGAAATATCAGGCCGTAGGAAATAAAGAGTTCATTATTCAATCCTAGGCACATTTCACTCAGAAATCAACCCTAGTATACTCAAAATAAAAATAAAATTTAAATCTTGTATACAGGTACTTGAAATGAAATCATAGTTAATACAACTGGATTTATACTATAGTAAACATATAAGAACTTATTGCTTTATTTGTAACTGATTAGGGCTAATCCACCCTTTTTATCCTATAGGGATAAAAAATGTTGGATTGTGAGAATTGTGGTTCCTTCCAAAATGGCACCTGCCCTGGAATGGCATAAAGTAGCTTCTGCTGCTTCGAAAATGGCATCCACTCTGAGATGCAATGATGTGGTCTCTATATAGGAAAGCCATATATCGGATCAGTTGCTTTTCTTTCCAAAAGGTGATCTTCAGATCTCGCCTTTCAGAAAGAAAATCAGCCGATCAGTTGCATGGCCTTCCTATATTGAGGCCACATGGTGCTATCATAGAAGCAGATGCCATTTTGGAAACAGTTGCAATTCTCAGATTATGAGAACTGCAGCCAATTTCAAAATTCTCTCCCAGATAGCACCACGAGGCTTCTATATAGGAAGGACTTGCAGCATATTGGCTGTTTCTCCTAGGAAAAGGGGATCTTCAGAAAAGTTAAGTGGAGCAAAGTGTGATGGGGGAAGGAGACCCAGTGGTGTAAGATCCAGCCAGATTGGAAGTAGGCCCTAGGGACCTAGTGGGGTGGAGGTGGGGCAAGATGGGCAGGTGAGGCAGCTGCAACATCCTTGTGGTCAGTCATAAAGATTGCCAAGCACCTGAATTTTATTCATGTGATGATAGAAACGTTACAGTGGCCACAACTTTGGGTATAGGTTGTCAATCACATCATTCAGTATCGTGATAATTTTGAATCATCACTGAACAAATGTTAAGTCAAGGACTATCTGAATGTAAAATAATGGAAATAGTAGCTACTAGCTAAATAATTGATAATAATTTATGGTTTTGCCAGAACTGATACAATTAATTATAGTAGTTACAGAACACTTTTAGCCATCTCTTCCCTACATTCTAGTTTTGACCAGTACTTGAACTATTCACAAATTATTCACATTATACAAAAGGCAAACTTTACATTGCACTGCTATTCTTTCAGCTCAAATAATCCATGTTTTAATTTATTTGAAAAAAATCAGCTTATATCAGGTTAGGAAAGTTATCTAGCAGTCTTACTTCACAACCAGTTGCTAGAGCTGCAGCTTTAAAACAATTCTCTGCTTTTTCCTTTAAGGTAGAGAGTTCCCTTAAGGAAGGAGCACGCAAGTAAAATTCTAATTCAGTGTAAGAAGGGATGATATTAGGCTTCACACCTCCATTCTTTATTATACCTACAACGAAGAAGAAACAGGTAATTGAAATTAGTTTGGCACCTAGGTTTTCTGAGGCTTACTGCAAAACAGCTAAACAGAAAAGTCATGTTATTTAAGCACTTGATCGAAGGCTCTCTGCTTTGCCAGTAGATCAATGAGAACTCACACTGAAGACACTCTGGCAACAATGGACATCTGAATTCCAAAATCAGAAACTTCAATTTTCTGCTGTATTCCTCTGTTAATTATTTGTTGCTCTTAAAATTGAAAAAAAAAAGTCTCTTCCTATACCAAGCAGAGCTATATAAGAAATATCAAGCAGAAGTTGAATATATTTACAGTATATTAGGAAGAAATTAAGATAAAACCATCCTTTCATATTTTAATTCTTAGGGCCTCAACTTTGGATTAAAACCGAACAATTTAAAATGTCATATTTAGTTTGGCATCCGTATCAGTGTATTTTCAAATACACATTTCTATTTTTTCTGTTCAATATATTTATGTTATAAAGAAGAACAGTGCTAACATATTTTTGTATTATACCTGCTGATTACAAGTTCAGCTAAGGACATCCATGGTATATTACACATCTACTCTAACCCCTGACTCTTTTCCAGACATGATTAGGTATGTACCATGGTGAAATGTGTGTGTGTGTGTGTGTGTGTGTGTTCATGCACGCGCGCGCATATATACACTTGTTTTTATTTACTTAATTCTAACATATACCCCAAGAAAAAACAGTTAATGCCAAACAGTTTCAAGAGTAGGAATTACTTTATACATCCCTGTTCTGATTTGAAAGCATGACTTGATCTCAAATTTACTCTCATTCTAATATAGAAACAATTTAGTCATGAAACTGAAATATATAATAATTGAAGTATTATTAAAATCAAAATTCATAATGCATGGTAATAAACATATTCCAATCAGGAAGAAATACTGAAATCTGACATAACACACCTGATATATCTACAATGTAGTTTACAATTATTTATCTTTCAACAAAAGAGACTTTTGATTTGCATATATGTATAACTTTGTATTCCACCTTTGTTTCTTACATCCAGAGATTTTTGGCTGCATATTTTGAAGATTTTCTCTATTTTTTTCTCCAGATGTGTTTCACTTTGAGAGCGGGCAACTAAATTTCATTTTTGATGTGTGCCGTTGTGCCCACAGTAAAAAAATGACAATAAAGGTTATCTTATCTTATCTTATCTTAGATGTGCCCCATGTTTTTCTGTGGGAAATCACTGTAATTCTAACCCCAATAAGTTTAATCTATTTTCTCTCCTATCGAACACTACAGTAATTCATAGGCAAATAAATTTGGGTCTAGGAGAACTCAGCGCAGGCAGCTGGGTCCAGCCTCCTCACCACCACCAAGTCCCCTCGTCAACTCATTGCTGCCATGTTATTGCACGACAACTCAATGTGGACAATTTGTTGTGGGAACAATTCACTGTGGGTGCGCAGATGGAGAACCAGAGGGTGTGTGAGCAAGCGAGCAAGGAGAGGCAGCTGGGTAGGTGGTGGTGGTGGTGGGCAGAGTGGTGGTTGGGAAGGAGGTGGGGCTTCCCATTCTCACAACCACTGCTGCCGCCACCATTGTTTCGCTCTTCCAGCTGGGCAAGGTGAGGGCAGCAGTGAAGGTGGAGTCGGGGACAGGTGGTGGCTTCACCTCCCCCACTGACGCTGCTGTCCCCTCTGCTTAATTGCAGGGGTGAGGGCTTCTGCCCCGCTGGGTACTGAGCACACTGAGTCGGAGCGGGCACTGGGGCATATAAGCATTTGCAGAGTACCAGGGTCAAGAATGTTAAGGTACGATGGCTGCAGCAGCCATGAGTCCTTTCTGTGCCCGGGAAGAGCCAGGGTTGGAATTCCGCAGCCATTATGGAGAGATTTTAGAGGAGCTGGATAGAGCATTGCAGCAACATTCCCCCCAAAGCCAGGTGAATGATTTCATGGTGTTTCTGGTCATGAGCAGAGTGCATTTTTCTAGGACAGAAGGAATAATAATAATAGGAAGGGGAAGTCTTCCTGAGCCCAAATTTCTTGACTGGAGTATCGCTAATGGCATTTTCTCCCTGGGCTCAGCACCCCTTCACTCCTGCACCCTCTTCCAGATCCACCTGCCACCAGCACGGGTGAGACCAGGTTGGCAGTCTCTAGGCGGGCTCCGCAGGACCAAATCACCTGCTCTGCCGAGAAGGCAAAGGAAGAAGCCAAAAGGTGGTTGGGCCAATGAGTCAAACCATGGCCTCCCCAGATGTGCTGCAGAAGGCAACCCTCCTCACCTAACCTGGCCAACACATCTGCCAGGTTGGAAGGAAAAGAGATTCCAATTGGCGGAAGCTATTCAGCTACAATTCACCTACAATAACTTTATTATGATCAAGCTAACATGGACCCAAAATGGACAGAAGAAAAAGAAATAGTATCAGCACAGATTTGCACCTGGAAAAAGAGAGTTTCATAGCAATATTTACAGATTTCCTCGAAGTCCCCCACCAACTTCCATGCAATTTTGAGGAGGTGGATCACCTGGGGGACAAAACACACCATCACTTACTCTTTCCTGCAGCATTAGTGAACTGTACAGATTACTGTTTGAAGGGAGCAGTACATAAATTGAAGAAAATTTAAATTAATGATCTCTGCCTAAGATTTCAGAAGCTATGTCATTCTAACTTAAGAGAGTAAGAAATGAAACCTTCACAAAGCAGAAACTGGATGGACGAAATACAGAAAAGAAACAATTATCCGGAAAAGGAGATAATTTGCCTCCACCAATAAGTCACTAAATAAATGTTTTATCTGGGTCAAAATAGATGTCAAGACCCTTATTATATATGTTGTAATATTCTGAAAGGAACACCCCAACAACTGGAAATAAAATCCAAATATTCTATTAAAACAAGATCAAATGGCATGGATAAATGATGATTAAAATACCCTAGGGACAGTATTGGGAAAAACAAATTATTTATCTCTTAACCGAGAATCTTTTGCTTTTTGTATAATTTATGAGAGGTTTTTATATATCGTATTTAAGGAAACCATATGGACTCTATTTAACTCCATTTTTCATTATTATTATTAAAAATGGTATCAGCTATTAGGTATGCCATATATTGCACATAATAACTTCATTTTTAAAACATCCACAATAATTATCTTTGGGATGCAAGATAATTGAGTCTCTTTCAAGAAATGTCCTCAAATTAAGCATTTATAATAAAATTACCGATTTCACAATGACTATTTCTAAATGCATATAAATGCATTTCCTTTATATTTCTAGAAAATGAATGCAAGTTCTTCCTAGGTCAAAGGCCATATTTAGTTTTTGAATTAAACTAACTTCAGAATGTAGGATTAAAGCTACGTTTTTATTTTATTTACATTTGATTAAAAGTAAATACACTCATTTAACTTTATACTCTGAAAATGTGAATTTAATGACTATTTAAAAGCATTAGCTGCTTCATATTTTCATATGAAAAGCAGAGTTTTTACCGTTATGCATTTAATACCACATTGGAATAATTAAAGCTAATAAACATAAGCAGCTGTTCATTTTGTAACATTAGCATGTCAGATAGAACACATTTGCTTAATCAGTTTCTGATATAACTTGTTGGACATAAGAGTGAAGGAAGGTCTCACCATGTACTCTCCATGTCGGTTTCATTTGCTGTCTTAAAAGGGACAGATTGTTGTATGCAAGTACAGCAGCATCTAATGCATTTAGTCCTTCCCAAGGGTAAGCAGCTGCATGAGAAGTTTTTCCATAGTATTTCACAGTCACACTAGGAAATAAAAGTCATCACTTGTTTTTGAACAATTTTAAAGGAAAAAAAATCCCTTTGGATTCATTTCATGAAAATAATTTTTAAGGAGATTAAGTGCATGCTGCATTCTATGGTATTACTCCGAAGCTCTACAAAGATCTGAAACAGCAAATCAACACAAGGCTATGAATGGAAGGTGATACAGAGCTTCCATAGTTAAAGCTAATCTTTGGCACTGCAAAAATTAGATCTCTAAAACAGATATATCAGAGAACTGATATAGCACATAAAATTAAGCTTGGAAGAAATTAGTGAATTAGTACCTAAAACCTTTAGCAAAACCATTTAAAAAGAACATTTTAAACATGTATGAACTATAAGATGAGAACATCCTCTGGTTTTATTAAAGGTTTATCTTTTCTACTCGCTTTTTCTATGGTAACTTTGCTTGCATGAAGGCAGGATTTGTTTAATCCGTGAGTTATTGTTTAAGCCAGAGCCTATCTAAAACATAAGCAAAATAAATGTGGTTTGTTTGGTCAAATGTGGTTTGTTTCCTTCGATAGTTCTTGGCCGGTATCCAGTGCAGAGCAAACCCAGATAAGACTAACTCATTTGCTGACCCTAGGACAGAAAAATGAACACATCTCACTAATGTTTACTTTTATATGCTAACCCAGAAATCATTTCTAGTCAGGAAAAAAATGTTTTACAGAACACAATACACCTGCACTAGAAGTGTAGTTATACAGATTAATTTCTCAGAGTCGTTCAAATTTCTCAGAGTCATAGAGGATCTCCATGGAGGACCAAGATACGTTAATCTGAACCAATTTCTAGGCCAGAATATTCTAAAATAGTAGAATAGTCTTCACTAAGAAATTAGGCTGGTCTCAATTGTTCCAGGCTCCAGATATTCCTGACAACTGAGTTATTCTGGGGGCTCTATGATGACTGATAGATGCCCATCTGGACTGATTTTATGTATAGGTCTTTAAATTTTTATATAGTATATAACAGTGATGGCGAACCTTTTAGAGACTGAGTGCCCAAATTGCAACCCAATGCATGGCTGCAGTGGTAACAGCAGACTGGGTGGGACTAAAAAGTTGAAATTGACTGATTGAATTTTTTTTTTGCACATGGCGACGAAGATCTAAAGCGAAAAGGTTTTATAGAACCCAGCTGAAGGCCTAGGACTGGGGCGACGGCGCACGTGCCCACAGAGAGGGCTCTGCGTGCCGCCTCTGGCACCCATGCCATAGGTTCGCCACCACTGGTATATAATGTAGTAGTTAAGACCTGACATTGGCTTGATGGTACATAATCAATTCCCATCCCGTGAAATGCGCCTTCATAAAAATGATGAGCATCAAAACTCGAAAAAAGACAAAAAGCAGAAATGTTTAAGATTAGCAAAGATCCACACATTTCATAACATTGTTTTAGAAGCTATATATAACCCATACAATAAATGTGCCACACAGTAATTTTAAAATTAAAACTAAAACACAATTTTAAATGGTTTTTTTCAAAATCATTTCCTAAACAAACTTTACGAATACATCAGAATATGCTTTTCCAGAGCACAAAACAATTGTGTAGGTTTGTGCTGTGTTATCAGTTTCTTACATTTTTAGCATTGTACTGAATACAATAAGGAAGCAACTTGCAAAGGACACTTAAGAGCTTGATTTATTTGGGTCAAGCCGGAGTTTTATTTATTAGCATGAAAAAGAATGAAACAGGCCAATCTATTAAGAACCAAAGATTCCATTTATAGAACAAGCATTTGTTGATAAACTCAGCCTTCCAGTATCCCTGAATTCTTGTGTTTATTTATGCCTACAAACATATTTTTAATTAAAGCAAGCATGAAATGAAATGCAGAATTTAAGATATGAACATATTCATATAGAGTTTAAGTTTGTTTTTTTATTAAACACATTGGTAAGAACTACTATCTGAGCTTGCTTTCTTCTCCCTGCTCCATCTCAGCTTTTTCCTTTCTTCTGCATCTTTTATACTATTATCAATCTGTAGACAGAGATGGCCTGCAAGCTTTTTCAGATGAAGAGAAGCACACAGAATAGGGCCTCTGACAAGGAATTCTACTGGCAGGCAATAGCTGGTGCTGTGGCTGAAGCAAAAGGTAGGTTGTACCTGTACTTTTTTATAATTTTGTTTAGCTAAAATGAGATGTGGTGTATAAACACTTTAAACAATTATTTGTTAGAAAATATACTTTTGTTTCCTAGGATTGTGTGTTACAAATGTAATTGTTCTAAACTAGAAATCCAGTACTGGCTCTTTTGAGAAGTAAATGAGAAATAACTTTCTATAAAATGTTTGATAAGTATAAGGAACGTGTAGAGAGCAAGGAAGATGACCTTGATGGATATATAAAAACTCTGTTGCCTAAACCAGGGCCCCCCAACCTGCGGTCCACGGCCCACTACCAGGCCATGGCTTGCTGGCTACCGGGCCATGGACCAGGCTGGCCAGTGCGTGCACCCCACTCGCGCTAGCTAGTTGTTGCCACCACTATGCAAACGGGGGGCACTGCTATGCAAATGATGCGCCACGCAGTGCAAAAATGGGGTGCCATGCGGCAAAAACGGGGCAGTGCTAGCGGCCATGCGGCAAAAATGGGGCGGTGCTAGCGAGTGTCATGAGGGCGCTAGCACCGACCCGTTTGCATCATGCGTGCTCGCGGCCCCATTTGTGTGTGTGTGTGCGCGTGCATGCGTAAAATACTTCCCCCTCCCTTTCCCTCCGGTCCGTCAACCAAGAAAGGTTGGAGACCTCTGGCCTAAACAACCAGGGCCGAAGCATTTTTAAACTTCAGAAAGTTCAAATGATGTTATAGCAAATTTCAGTTTAAGACGTTTTAGCCTTCCTGTGGCTTTTTGTTCTGCTCCACCTGGTGGAGCTGACATATCCTTATCACTACATCTGAATGATAGTACTTTGGGTACTTTTTGCAATATATTTTCTTGCCTACAAACTACAAAAATTATTAGTATTTAATAACTATAATGATGCTGATCAATTGTTACACTTTGAGAAAAAAACTCTTCAACTTCTAAGTTAAGCACAAGAAATCATCACTGCAAGACTAAAATATATCTAACAAAAGCACCTGCAATTTGCTTCACTTACCAAGTCCAAGAGAATACTAGACTACGAAAAACCACCAGTTTTCATAAAAACACATCTACATTATTGCACTACTTTTTTTTTCTTCCACTCAGTAAGATTTGATTCTTGGAGACTGCCTGCGTAAGTCCCTGCAGTTTTCTTGGCCCAGCTTTTCAGAAGTGCTTTGCCATTGACTTTTTCCTAGGATTGAGAGAAAGTGACTAGCACAAGAATACCCAGCTGGCTTTTTACCTAAATCAGATTAAAATCGATGGTCTCTGTTTCTAGTCTGATGCTTTAACCACTGCACTAAATTGTCTCTCATTACACTATTAGAGACATATGAAAACCTTGTGACTTTCAGAGTCATATAAAATAAACCTTGTTAACTTTAAAGAATAAAATTGTAGTATGCTTTGTTTTCACTGCAGCATTTTCCACATGTCATTAATGGTTGTTGTTTTAACCATTCAGTTGTGTCCGACTCTTGGTGACTTTATAGGCAAGTGCTCTCCATGCTACTCTGTCAGACACAGCTTCTTTCCATTGTTGGATGCTCGTCTTTGTATCAGTTTTGATATTATCAAGCCAGTATGTTATTTACTTGTCTTTTCTTCTTGTTCCATTAACCATTCCTAGCATCACTGACTTCTCAATGATGATTCATGTCATTAATACCAGAGGTATTAGCAGAGGGCTATTAATCAAAGGTATTAGCAGAGGGATAATTCTTGTCTGTAGACTTTCAGAAGCATGTTGAAATATTAAAAGAGGAAAGCTCCACTATATCCAAGCTAAAACAATTCCAAAACTTTTATGATTCTGCATGAGCTTGATTTTTTTTTTGGGGGGGGATAAGGAAAGACATAAAGAAAAATAAAAATAAATGTAAGAATAACATTGTATCATCTAAACTTGAGTTATGAGATATTCAATTCTGTATTATAGGTAAACATCAGATCCAATTTCCTGAGCAGTTTTGTAATGAACGTCATAGTTTCAACCGAAACAAATTCTTTAGAGAATCATGTGAAGAGGTATTATAAGAACTCTATTAAGCAATTCAAGTGTTTTAAATACTCAGTACTATCTGTAGTACCAATTATAGTACAGCTACATGTCACATGAGAGAAAGTAGTTACCTGAAAATACTGAAAAATGCTGAACAAATAATATGACAAAAGAGTACATGTTGCAACTTCTATAATGATGAACATTCATAAACTTATAAAAATGGTCGCATAATTTTAAAAAAATAAAATATTTGACTGCTTGATACTACACATTCATACAAAATTACAATATAAAAATATTCAGATTAAATTAATACTGCATATTTCAGATATACCTGATAACTGAACTCTCCCTATTTCCTACTATTTTATTTTACTTTAATTTTACATGTAATACATTACCAAAGAAGTTACTGAAAGGTCACAAAACAGAATATCATTTGTGATAATATTTTCCTTATTTCACAATCAATATTTCTAAGTATATGACCAAACAAAACTTAGCCAATAAGCAAAGATGGAGCATTGTAAATAAGCAAACTTTGGAGAGAAAGGAATTTCATTGCTCTGCTCTGGAATAACAAGATTGTGGGAGCCATTGGTATTTACTACATCTTTGGATAATATATAACACTGGAGTTTATAGAGGATCAGCAGAGGAATCATCAGGAATACCTACAAGGTTGTGTACATGTGATTGGATTTAAAAAGTCAAGATGGTAGACATGCCCTTACAATCAAAGCCCTGCACCTTTGTACAACTGGCGAATCATACAAATTATGCAATTATACCCACTATTTTGCTTTTTTTTTACATCCTCACAACTACAGATGTCCCTGTAAAAAAGTAATGGTTGCTCCATTTTCTAGCTGTTTATATTGGCCAATACTACTGGGCCCAACCTACACAGTTACACTGCTTAAAAATGAGAAAACTAAAAAAAACCTCAGAAAGCAACAGTACAGGCAAGTAATCATAGGTAATTCTTAGACCACAGTTGGTATTGGAACTTACTTTGCTAAGCAATGCAGTTATTAAACAAGTGGCACCCAATTTTATGAACTTTTTGCCATAGTCCTTACTTTCCCTATCATTTCAGTTGTTGGAAGCCCACTGGGAAGGTTGCAAATGGTGATCGTTGACCCTGGGACCTGTAACTGTTGTAAATACATGACATTTGCCACGTATCAATTTTTGATCATGTGACCATGGGGACTGACAATTGTAAGTATGACGACTGGTTGTCACTTTTTTCAGAACCATATCTTGGAACAGCCATTAAACGAATAGTCATAAGTCAAGGACTACCTGTAATAATTATTTTTTGTAGAAGCAGTTTCTGAAAATGCTTACCCCCCCCCCCCCGTGTTTTAGCAAAACAACACAGAGCCCTGGGTAAGCTATGGTTGCTTTTGCTTATCATAGATATTGTTCCTTCCTCTCTGGAGGAGTCAAAAGTTTGGCATTCTGCCTCCTTCAAATATTAAGATAACAACACTGAAGACAAGTGAGTTATTGGAAATGGTGGCAACTGTTCTTTCTGACCACTGCTGCTTACCTAGGATCATGAGTATCCACCATGAGTAGGATTAAATGCCATTTGAGTAGGAGCAAGAATAATAATTCAGGAAAAAGATGCTGTTGCTATAAATGTCAGTCAATACAAAAAAATGTATTACCACCATCCTATCCATGCATTTATTTTAATAATGCAAGTGTTCTAAGCCAATAATAACGGACACATGGGCTTCTAATGTCCCTTTCTACACCATCTACTATTTTCTTCCCAAGGAGACTCTTCAGGATATTATTTACTGAGCACAGAACAGTTTTTGTAGAAAAATGAAGCAGAAATTCTTATAAAGTTCTGCTGAACTCCATAAATGTGTTGTTGCATGTTGCTCATGAACCGACACAAAGGACGAAAAAGGATTGAACTAATAGATCTCAAAAAAATAAATAAATCTAGAAGGGGATCAAAGGGCAACAGACCCCTTTTCAGACACTATCAACAAAGCTTTCCCACTCCTTTTTTACTCACTCATGTTCTGCAATATCAGGTAAATAAGCTGCATCTTCTTGAGAGGGGTGAGCCATGAAAACAACGTCTAGACTATCAAAAACCCCAGCTTTAATTAAGTCTATTTTGCCTCCTCCATCTTCTTCAGCAGGGGTCCCCAGCACTGTGACCTAAAACGAGAAGATGACAAAGATATCAGGGTCTGGAAAACAACAACAAACAATCGCGCCAAGGGAACCCAGCCAGGGAAGCCTGTTTACTGGGTTGTGCTCCTCTCTTGAACACTGCTCTCAGACCCACAATATTTTGAAAATGCATAACTTTCTCGATACAAAATAAGAGATTTACAAAAAAAAAAAAAAAAGGAGGGTGGGGAGATATGCTCAAAATCTAAAGTTAGCACTTCATAATCCCGTGCGCTGCCGAGGCACTAAAACCACGGAGGGCGGGCGAAGGCGACCGAGACGCCAGCTCGCTCCTCACCTTAACGGCGGGCGCCTGGCGAGGGAGGCCGGCAGGGCTCTGGCGGAGGCTTTCCAGAGCGCCCTTCAGGCCCAGCGCGGCGGCGGCGCCCACTTCGGCGATGAGGTTGTGCCCGCAGGCGTGCCCGATGGCGGGCAAGGCGTCGTATTCGCACAGGAAGCCCAGCCGAAGCAGAGGCGGCGGTGGCGGTGGGGGAGCCTGGCTCGCTTCGGCGGGAGAGCAGGACGCCCCGTCCCACTTCCAGTCCGCCCGGAAGGCCGTGTCTAGCTTGTAGCTGCGCTGCACCGACCAGGCGCCCGAAGAGGAGGAGACGGGCAGGCCGGCGAAGAAGCGCGTCAGGGCGGCGTGAGCCTGGTGCTCCTCGTAAGCCAGCTCCGGGTGGCTCCAGATCTCCCGGCTTAGCTCGCCCAGGCGCTCCGAGGACTGGTCGATGCACTCAGCCGCCCACCGCTTCCATTCGTCCAAGCGCATCTCCGATGCCTCCACCGCTTCATTGGGTCTCATTGCAACGGTCGGACAAAAGAAGGGAAAGACCGGAGAAAATCGGAGGGAACAGGGGCCGTTCTCAGCTTTCCGATGAGAGGAAAAATAATAATAATAATAATGCAGAATAAAAAAAAAAAATACGCCTAACGAAGAACTAGAGCCCGCGAAACTCGCCGGCCGGTCTGAAGTTCATGTTGCCCGAGAGGCGGCTTATATATATATCCCTTCGTTTATTTCGCAACTCATTCCCTGGAGCCTGCTGGGAATAGTAGTTTTTTTTTTCCTTTTTTTAAATTAATACTGTACAAGTATTTCTGAACTGGACTTCTGCCAGAATTGCACCACCGTGGCGCCGAAGTACGAAACTGTAAACAATGTGAAAGAAAACATGATGTAACTTTCTAAAAGCGATGGATTGCAATGTTATTTCTTTTCATCTTATCTACCGCACATGGGTGCATTCTCAGAACTAGACTTGGAAGTTGTCAACATTGTCTTTCTATCTATTCTTCAAATGCAAGGCATAATTTTTTTTTTCAAGATATAAATTTTTATTGTTTTTATCATAAAAAAAACACATCACAAGTACATCACAATGCATAAAAACCCACCCCCCACCCCCCACCCGGACTTCCCAAACCTTATCCCAGGATACTATTCAACTAAAAGTAAACTACTATTAATATCCCTAACTCCACAAAATATTACTCTACATAAGAAGGTGAAATATATAAAAAAAAGAAACACATTATACAAGGCATAATTTAAAAACACATTTCTGAGCCACAGCTTGATCCATTTTACCTTTGTGTTCTTCGAAATTTTAAGCTGCTTCTAATTTTATAAAGTAACTTTAAGAACAAGTAACGAAAATATGTATATACATGTTTCCCTTGAAACGGATCAGATTCAACTGAGGAATATCGCGGATATTTTTATGCCGCACATTCCATCAGACAAAAACATCTGTATTTTTGTACCGTGGGTGTGTAAAATTCTATAACTTTCAATTGGTTTACACAAGAATACCATCTGTTGGGGGTCACATAAGGACCCATTATATCATGTTTAATGCAGCTTAACAACATGCCAATTGCTGATAAGACTCCGCAGGAGCACACGACCCGCCGCCCTGCTTCAGTTGGGGGCGGGGCCAGGGCTTTCATGTGATTTTTTTCCCCGGCAGAACTACAAGTTCCATCACCCCTTGCGGGAGGGAGGGCTCGTGACGTCTCGTTTGTTGCTAGCGTGCGTTAACCGTTAACGTGTGTTAACGGCTCCCTTCGTTCCACCTGTGGTCGAATGCTTTTGCCGCCACTACCTTCGGCTCGCGTGCTCGCTGAGTTGGTGTCCTCCCCTCACACTCGTTAGACCAGGGGTCCTCAACCTTGGCAACTTTAAGACTTGTGGACTTCAACTCCCAGAATTCCTCAGCCAGCAAAGCTGGCTGAGGAATTCTGGGAGTTGAAGTCCACAAGTCTTAAAGTTGCCAAGGTTGAGGACCCCTGCGTTAGACTTTGGCACCGGGGAGGATGAGCCGCCGAAGAATGGCAGGCTGGGGGAGGGGGAAGTCTTGGCAACGCGGAGTTCAACGCCAGACCGGATAGGGCAAAAGTCGCGGTTTACTTGAGAAGCAGGAAGGGAGAAGCCGGCGGAGCAATGTGGTCGCAGATTAGACCGCATTGCGCAGACGTGCCGATAGCGCGGCGGAATCTCGGTGGGGCGGGTCTCCCCGCGCAGCCGCAATTGGCTTTCTCCCCTTTGCTAGTCCTGGATAGAGTCGCGGTTTGAGCCGAGGGACGGGTTCTTCTGGTGTAGGTGCGGATCTCGTCCAGTTTTTTCATAGCTTTTAGTCCTACCGCTCCCGCAGAGAACTTGCGTCCTAGAAAGACTGAAACGAAAAATCTAGTGTTTTCTGGGTATTTTGGTATTGCCATCGCTAAAAACCCGGCTATGCTTGATGCCAAGCTAATTTTGTGCTGACCAACAGCGCCGCTGCTTATAACTAACTTTATTCTGTTTATATTCTTGTGGAAAACGAAAGGACTCTTACGAATTCCAGAGGGGGTTAGCAGAGAGGTTTATTTGCGCAGGTTCAGAAGCAAAAAGACAGGCGATTCTGCACAAGGAGGGCGGGATTAGACTTCAGTTTTATGCTTTCCTTTTCTTAGGAACAAAGGACTGCACATTGTAATACACATTGTAATACATTAGGATCGTTTCTCATGGGCATACAATGGTAGGTTTTGCTACATACAAAGTATGTGTAATGCGCATTTGGTTAGTCACATATTACTGACACAGAACTTTCCCAGTGATTATGCATTACATCATTATTCTAGCAATTATGCAGACAAATCATTATTCCAGCAATTGTTCATTATTCTATCTTATTTTACCACATTAATATAATATAATATTAATATTATAATATTCTATCAGACCAACCAATTCACAATCACAGAATTGGAAGGACCCTTGGAAATCTTTTAGTCCAACCCCTTGCCAGAGCAGGAATCCTCAGACCATTCCCAACAAATGGCAATCTGACCTTCGTTGAAACTTTCGCTGATAGAGCTTCCACCACTTCAGGAGGCAGGTTCTACACTATTTAAAATTCCTCACATTAAGGAAATTCCTCCATAAAAGTTTGGATCTCATTCTGTAAAGATTGGTTCTTGTTCTGCCCTTAGGTGATAGGCATAATAAATGTGTGCCCTCTTTTCCTGTGACAGCCCTTAAAGCAGTGGTTCTCAACCTTTTTAATGCCGCGACCCCAACTGGCCGTAAGTTGAGGACTAAACTGGTCGTAAGTCGAGGACTAAACCGGTCGTAAGTCGAGGACTACCCAACCGCGCATGCGTGGTTCCGCCCCCTGCGCCGGCTGAGGCGTAGCTGGCAAGCGGCAGAGACGGAGCAGGCCGACCACCAGCTGGCCCAGCCCAAGGGAGGTAAGGCACCCGCTGGAAAAGGGGGGAAAAAATGGCGGACAGCCTTGCTTGGCGACCCCCATGAAATGGTCGATCGACCCCAAATGGGGTCCCGACCCACAGGTTGAGAACCACTGCCTTAAAGTATTGTAAGTCTGCTGTCATGTCTCCGCATAGGGGAGTTTTTATGCTAAACATGCCCAGTTCTTTTAACCATTCTGCTTAGGAGTTATCTTCCAAGTCCCTCTTCATTTTTGGTCTCTCTTCTCTGTACTCTTTCCAGGTCTTCAGCATCCTTGTATTGTGCTGACCAGAATTGGATATAAAATTTGTGGGGTGGCCTGACCAATGCAACATAGAGTGGAAATACTACTTAACATAATCAGAACACTATACAACTTTTGATACAGCCCAAGATTGCATTTGATCTTTTGGCAATTGCACTGGACAATGGATCATATTCTAACAAATACTAGAGCCAAGCCACATACCACCAGTCTTGTACTTGTGTATCTGATTATTCTTACCTAAAGTCAGAATCCAATATTTCTCCTCATTGAAGTGCATTGTATTAGAAAGAGCCAAATGTTGAAGTCTATCAAGAATTTGTTTGAAACCTGATACCGTCTTTTGAAACCCTAGCAATTTCAAAGTGAGTATTACCTTAAAAATAAAAGTGATTGATTTCCAGTTAAGTTTAACCAGGAGTACTAATTATTGCGTTATTTATTGACAGGGCTTACCCATCTGACAGAAGAAGAAAATGGGAATGAGAAACAGCTGGGGTACGAAAGTGAAAGCATAGGTAATGTGTATATAAATGAGGTGATGAGAAAGTGACCACAGTTATCACTGCAATATTATACATAAGTGGAGAAGAAAATATATTAAGTTTTAATCAGATAGAGAAACTGCACTGTGGGGTCTTTTGCTCTCTCTAACCTTAGCTGTTTTCTTGCAGATGTTTCATTTTCCAGCTAAGTAACATCATCAGTACATGTTTATAGCAACTTTTCTTTCTTGCATTCTCTTTCCCAGGTTGTGAATAAGTTAGCAAAAGTTATGAACCATAAGAATCCATAAGCACTGACCCAGATGTCAGAAGAAAATAAAAGAACAACGAACTGCAGAGTGAGTCAAAAACTGAACATAAAATATGCACTGATAACTAAATATGAGGAAAAGATTGATAAAAGCTGTAAATTGATTAAGCTGTAAATATCTCATGATGGTAAGAAATTACTCCATCATTGTTGAAAAAAAGACTTACATGAATGTTTCATGTATCCACAAACTTGGTTGACATTGCAATTCTTCAGCTTAATATACCTTGTATTCTTGAAAATCATTAAAGATCTTTCCCCAATCTAGTATCCCTTCAGTACCAGGTTACCAGTGTCCATGAGGCAAGGAATAATGAGAAGTTAACACATCTAAAGAGGCACCATCTCACCTGTTTCTAGTCTTTTACTTTCGCTATACTACCCAAATGAACTAAAACAGAAGATATTTAATTGTCTTTATTTTTTCAGTTCCATGGTACTTAGTTTTTAATGGTTTGAATTAAGAGATTATTATTAGAACAACCTCTGTAAGCAAGATTTTATAATGCGTTAAACATTAATCTTGATTGTGTTCCTTTTCCAGCAAATTCCAACAGATTAAGCATGATCCAATGGTTTGAATTAACAGATTACTGTTAGAACAACCTCTGTAAGCAAGATTTTATAACACGTTAAACATTAATCTTGATTGTGTTTCATCCACTTTTCCAGCAAATTCCAACAGATTAAGCATGATCCATTGTCCAAATAGAAGATAGCCAGAATCAAATCAAACTACGAATGATTCTGGAGAGTGGTTTAGAAGAGTTTTGCTCCCAGATCCAACCTGTTAGTGAAAGAAATGAGTGGTGATTTTCCTGTTAAGATTTGTCCTTCTGTTTTTGGGAGAGAAATAGACATGTTTAAATTGCTGACTTTCTTTCTACTTTAGGAAGTTACAATTGGGGATGTTATCTCTTTATCCTTCTGTCACTAGAATTTTAATCTTTAGCAGCAAGTTATCTTTGAATACATCAAAAATAGATTATAGTTCTTATACAAATCCAGTTCTTTTGTATTATTCTATTGCAAAATAAACAGTGGTAAAGATAGGTTAATACAGTTTTAGTAAAATATTATTTTAATGTGACAAAGCATTAAAACAATGAAATATCCATATAATACTGTTTTAAAATATTTAACACTTTTCAGACTCTACTAAAAACAACTCAGAGAAGAAATTTGATTGTATAAAAAAGTAAATAATAACATTTTCAAGACATTACTTTGGGGTGGTATGCAGCAAGTAATACCACTAGGTGCTATTCAAAAACAAAAGAAGCAATTTATTGTTTTTGCTATTGTGATGCCTTTGGGAAATTATGGGCCTGGCTATTACTATTACTATGAAGGAGATGGGTGGTTAAGAAATTTGATAAATAAGGTAATAGCAAAAGAAGCTCAGTGAGATAAGCCTACACAGTCATAGAAAGATGCTGTTTATTTTTGTTCATCGGCTTTCTTTTGCTTGGGTAAATTTTCTCTGGGGAATTTTGGTGTAGGAGCTTAGAAAATTTTCAAAAGTTAGGCAGCAAAAAAGAGTACACAACAGCCCTCTATCCAGATATTTTGGACTTTAATATACCCCAGCAAGGAGGTCAGTGATAAGGTAACGTCAATTGTTGCCCAAAATTTCTGCAAGTACCAAATTGCTTATCCTTCTCCCTTTTTTTCCTTTTATTTGTATATTGTACCTTGTGTTTTTGCTTTCTGTACTGAGTATGTTTCATATTGTATTTTTTTCTATGGAACTGTTGACAGTTGCTTTTTTGGAGTGGCACAGAAATATGTTTAATGAACAAGTAGGGACTAACATATTTTGTTTGAAGCTACAGGTTAAGATGAAGTATCTTTTGTAGGAGGAGAAACCATAGTCACATGTTGGATTATGTATCCAGCAGGAAGCTATTTGGACCTTATTAAAATAACATTTTACATATTTTTATTCTGTAAAAAAGTTATCATACAAAATTTGGTAGTATATATCAAATCAATTTTGAATGCAACTGACATTTGTATTGTTTAACAATATATAGGTATCAGAAGCTAGAAGATACTATTTTATTGTAATGAACAAAATAGGAACAATTCCACTCACAAATGGTACTGGAAACAGAATGTATTTTGATATATTTTTGTTTCATTCTGAATATGGTCAATTTTTGTGATTCTGAACACTGTAAACAAACTTCATCCTTTAATACAGGGGTCCCAACCCCTGGTCTGCGGCCTGGTACTAGGCTGAGGCCCGGCTGGAACCGGGCCACTCAAGTGGCGGGCAAGCATGCAAAGCTCCATTTTTTGTAAGGGGTGTGTGGGTGTGCGAAACCATCCCCTCCCTCCCTCTGCCGCCACCACTGTTGCTGGTCCACAAAGCCAAAAAGGTTGGGGAATACTGCTTTAATAAATCTGTTTGAATGTTAAGTTGATCAAACAATAATACTGAAAATAAACAACACTATATATTTGCCCTTTTTTCAAGAAACTGTTCTTGGATGATTAAGACTTACAGTAATCTTGGCATTGTGGTTTTTATATGCCAAATGTATAATATTTGTTGCATTAAAACAAGTCTGAATCCCTAATATTTCTTTGCAATTTTAAAATAGTCACTGATTTCAGCATGAGCAATCTTCAGCAGCATATGATCAGATTTGCATGAACACAGTAGGAATTTTCCTTTCCTGTTTGGGGAAAAATCCATTATACTGAGAGATATATAATAAGTGGATGAAACCATACTTTCAGAAAGTTTTAAAAATCAAAGTTTGCATAAGAGCACAGTTGACATTCTTATTTAAAGTCCAAGATGAGATCTACGGAATTAAAAGGGAAAATGTCTGGAAATGCTGCTAGATTAAAGATTCATGTTTGAGTGTTCCATGGTTATCTTACTTTTTTCTTGCATATCTGCATTGCTGCTACTGCAGCAAACTCTTCCATGTTTGAGATGAGACACAAACTGATGTGTAGAGAGCAGATTCTAAGAATATTCCCAGAATTTCCCAGGTATGCCTATTCAAAAACTTTTAACCAAATATAACATAGACAAAGATGAGATGCCATGTTTATTGGACAAATATGAAATAATCATGATGGCACCTTAATCACTAGATCAAATTGGCTCTCACTATCCTGGCTTTAAAAACATTTTTTTTAATTGTTAAGATAAAAATAGAGCACGTTGGCATTTTTACAATGAGTTTTGCAATATTTCCCCCCAATAATGGTAATGGAGTGAAAATAAATAGACACATACAGGAACAGGACATGGATGATCTGGGAGTGGAGAGTGTGAGAAAGAACATTTGCCCTGAATCCAGGAGGTAAATGAGGCAAGTGTTCCCATTGGTGGAAAAACAAACCACCCACAAGCTTTGCCAAGCCATAGAACTGAAAAGAAAAAAAAACTTTACTTCCAAGAAAGCAGCAGCAGCAGAAGAAAAACATCAGAACATGGAACTTTATTCTGTTTTTACTCCCAATCCTTCACACACTAGTACAAAGCTGACTTTTAATAATAATAATAATAAAGTTGGAAGGGACCTTGGAGGTCATCTAGTCCAACCCCCTGCTCAAGTAGGAAACCTATACCATTTCAGACAAATGGCTGTCCAATCTGTTCTTAAAAACTTCCAGTGTTGGAGCATTCACAGCTTCTGGAGGCAGGTTGTTCCACTGATTAATTGTTCTGTCAGGAAATTTCTCCTTAGTTCTAAGTTGCTTCTCTCTTTGGTTTGTTTCCATCTGTTGCTTCTTGTCCTTCCTTCAGGTGCTTTGGAGAATAGCTTGACTCCCTCTTCTTTGTGGCAGCCCCTGTGATAGCTCCTGCTATCATGTTACCTCTCGTCCTTCTCTTCATTAAACTAGACATTCCCAATTCCAGCAACCGTTCCTTATATGTTTTAGCCTCCAGTCCCCTAATCATCTTTGTTGCTCTTCTCTGTACTCTTTCTAGAGTCTCAACATCTTTTTTACATCGTGGTGACCAAAACTGGATGCAGAATTCCAAGTGTGGCCTTACCAAGGCATTGTAAAGTATTAACACTTCCCGTGATCTTGATTCTATCCTTCTGTTAATGCAGCTTAGCACTGTGTTGGCTTTTTTGGCAGCTGCAGCACACTGCTGGCTCATATTTAAGTGATTGTCCACTCAGACTCCAAGATCCCTCTCACAGTTGCTACTATTGAGCAAGGTACCACCTATACCATACCTGTGCATTTGGTTTTTCTTGCCTAAATGTAGAACCTTACTTTTTTCACCACTGAATTTCATTTTATTAGATAGCGCCCAATGTTTAAGTCTGTCAAGATCCTTCTATATTTTAAGTCTATCTTCTGGAGTGTTGGCTATTCCTGCCAGCTTAGTGTCGTCTGCAAATTTGATGAGTTCCCTATCTATCCCCTCATCCAAATCATTGATGAAGATGTTGAAGAGCACTGGGCCCAGAACAGAGCCCTGGGGCACCCCACTACATACTTCCCTCCATGTAGATGCAATTCCATTGAGGACCACACACTGAATACGGCCAGTCAGCCAGTTACGAATCCATCTGGTTGTGATGCTGTATAACTCACATTTTTCTATCTTATCAAGTAGTAGGTTGTGGTCTACTTTATCAAATGCCTTACTGAAGTCCAAGTAAATTATATCCACAGCATTCCTCTAGTCTACTAATTTTGTCAGCTGGTCAAAGAATGCAATAAGATTTGTCTGGCATGATCTGATTTTGACAAACCCATGTTTGCTTTGATTACCTTCATTTCTATCAATTCTGTCAGTTGCTTCAAATGGCCAAAAACAGGCAGGAAGTAATAAATTATCTTTTGAACCGATGAAAAGAAAAGGTTTTTTTTATGGAACTCAAAATATGTGTTCTCAGAGTTGCTATAGCTCCTGGAGTCCTAACTCTCCTATCTCTAATTCTGCACAAAATAAAAACAAAGGTATACTTAGAAAAATGAGGTACCGTAAGAAGAATTTAAAGATCAAAAGCTTAAATGAATATAGCTGTAAATATAAGCAACCTTGGAGCAAGAATGCGAGTTTGATGCAATGGTTAAGGCATCAGGCTACAAAACAGAAGACTATGATTTTAGTCCCAACTTAGCCAGCCGGGTGGTCTTGGGCCAGTCATACTCAGCCCTAGGAAGCAGGCAAGAGCAAAATACAAGAAATCCAAAAATCTTGCCAACAAACTGCAGGGACTAGTTGGACGATTACCAGAAATCAATACAGACTTGGCTTAAAAATATCAGAAAATGTAACAAATCAGGTTTCTGAGAACATTAGGTTTTAGATATTCATTTCTGAAAGGAATAGGAGAGGGAGCAAAAGACTCCTAAAGAACTCCCAACTAGCTGCCCAGATAGAAAGCCAAATAAAGTTATTTCAACTACTATCCCGGTTAATGTAATGCTTCCAATCAGATATTTTCTGGAGACAACACCACTCACTAGTATTACAACTCAGCATGACCTGTTAAAAAAATCCAAGAGTAGAAAAGAAAAAAAATCCTCATATGGAGTAACCTTTTAAGTAAATTTGCCTCTTCTGTTTTATCAATATTTAAAAGAATACTTCCATATGGAAAGAAATGGGCAACATGAGCAGCTCTGAAGTATTCCATTGTACTGCCCTCCTTTCAATTTTTTGGTGTTTCTTTACATAGAATTATTTGACTTGCATTGATGCCATAGTGGACTTTGTTAATTAGGAATGTCATGACTTTTTCCTTTGCCAGTGAGGCTATCTAGGCAGCCTGAGGCACTTTTTTCTTTTTTTCAAAGAAAAAAATTGAGTTCAATATTATTTAGACAGTTTACACAGTTTCACATATATTAAACATTGCTAATTTCCTCTTGTTGCGATTCCCAGCACTCACCAAAATATGCTCCAGAAGATAGGTGTATGTATATATGTATTGTTGGAAAAATATTTGAGAGAGTTACAAGACAAAGTTTCATAAAACACTATTTCCACTGAAAGCTTCAGCAAATCAAAAAATCCAGCACTAAAGAAAGGATACCATCCATTCTCATTATTAGCATTAATATTAAATTCTCCCATACATAACTTATCGGGCAGTGAGGGATTTTTGTATTTTCGGTTTTGGGCAAATTCATCAGTGTCTTTCCATGTGTTGTTTAAAGTCATCTATGAATGTTCTTCACTATTTTCATTAACTTATATATATATATATTAAAGTTTTGACTAACAGTCTCTTGTAGAATTCGCAGCAGAAATTATTTCTCAGTTTAGAGGTCTGGTTGATTCTTACTCTACATTCCTATCAGTGTATATTCAGAATTCTCACTGAATTTAGCATATGCTGCACTAGACTTGGGCATCATGATTAAAATAAAAGTGTATCCATCCCACATTCTGCAATCATTTCTAAAGTAGCAATTTATGTAGTCATCTAGCCATCACTGGGTCAACTGATCTCTTCCAAGGACAGGTTGTTGGAAGGACTGGGTGATGCTATAAATGAGCATCTTTATGACTGTTGCATAACCCTTAAGAGATAAAGGCATAAGAAAGGATATTTTATAAAACAACCATTCTGCTTCTTTTCCATTACAATGGCCAAGAAGAGTTTTTAACTTCTGAAAAACAACAAGACTAGCTAAACACTTCTAGTTAATCGCCTGTTATGTAATTGTTGTTGCAGAGAGTGAATCATTCCAATGTATAAAAGGTTACATGTTTTACAGTCTTTTACTGCCACCTTATGTGATTTCTTACCACTGCATATCAGACCAGAGATTACAATACTACCATTTTCCCATCATAATGAATAGCTTCAGCATATAGATGGTTGCAGTGACAGAGAAAAGGGTTTGACCATCATGTAGAGGGTGGAGCGATCATACAGTAGTTAACAGTAGTTTCTGAGCCCTATGGCAAAATGCCATTGTATCTCTTCCTCTCTTCTCCATATCTGTTAAAAATGCAGAAACATTGCCTGCTTTCATATAATATAGGACATAGTCTTACAATAAAAATTTGTTTAAGCATCATATCTAGCACCCCGCGTCTGAGGTGGCTGGCTGACTGGGACTAGGGATTGCTGAATTCTGAAGCAGAAGCAATGCAAAGACCCAGATTATTTATCTATTAGATATGTTTGTCCTTTTAATATTGGATGGGGCTCTTTCTTACAGAATAAGAATCAGAGTCGATAAGGACTTGACGTTGATTTGTTGGGGGGCACTTGGGCAGAAAATTATATGGTGATTGGTGGTGAGAATCTGGTGGGAGATAGATGGCAAGTCACTCTAGCAGAAGATACGAACTTCTATGAATTTATGAACTTCTAAATTCCATTTATTTATTGAAATAAATAGTTGTGTATGCATCTCAGTATGCTCAATAATATCACTACTATATGAGCTTCATTGGCTCCCAGTAGGTTCTTGGATTCAAGATGCTGGTAGTCATTTTCAAAGCCATTTATGGCACTGGGATGGGTTATTTGTCAGATATCCTGTTATTTATGTCCATCCCAAAAAATCTGGGCCTGCTCTGGATCCTTTCAATTAAATAGTGCAATCTGATGGGATCTAGGAAGCATGCCTTCTGTGTTGTTGCACTTAGGCTCTGGAACAACATATTGTAGCAGAATATTTGAAGGGTCCAAGTTTGAACTATAATCCACTCATATTCTTTTAGAACATTATTATCACAAACTCAGCTAAAAAGCCATTGGGCATTTGGAATTCTCAACTGCTATCAAGATAAATTAATGTTAATTGCAGGAATGTAAGCCTAGCTGGGAAGGATTAACAATTACATTTTAGAGACTGATGCTGGCTCCTCCCTGATTCATAGTTGTATAAAAAAGAGGGGAAAAACCCTACAAGATTTGCAACATTCTGATTATCTCAATTAATTCTAGTTTTCTTGTGGAATCTGATTTGGACAGTGTCAAACGGGTGATATTGTTTAATCCAGAGCATCCACTGTAAAGAAAAATTGACTTCTTCCTTTCCGTCCCTCATTATAAATTCCAATACACATATGAACTATCCCATTCAGTATAGTTAACCCTATCAATCATGTTTCATTCAAATAAAAGAGTACTTCCATAAAGAGGGCTTGTAACCCATCCCTCTTTAGGCTTCTTTCTCTTCAACCTCTAATATCAATGCTGTCAATATATTAATTAATGCTTAAATTGGTCCCTGAGATTTATATAAACCTTACTCCAGTGGCCTTCTGAGAAGTCCACTGGAGTAAGGTTTATATAAATTGGAGTCAGGCCCATTTAAGATATTAAAAACATAAGCCTATTCTCCAGGCACTGGGCCATGAAATTAAATCTGTTTTTAGGGGGTTATTGATGTGGATATTCTGGGAGTTGAAGTCAACATATCGTCATGTTGCCAAGGCTGAGAAATACCTCCTTAAACCGTTATTTCAGCCATTCCTTAACTGTAAAGCCTTGGTGACAGTGACTTTATCCTCATTTTAGACTATTGTAATGTGTGATAAGTGGAGCTGCCTTTAATGGATAATTTGGTACTTTCAATTGGCATAAAAAGCAGTAGCCAAATTTCTGATAGGGGAGAGACACTACTACTATAATACTGCTACTTTGGCTGCTTTATTAGTTATCAATAGGCTTCTATTTGTAGTAGCTTTAACCTAAAAAGCCCTACAGTTCAGTTTCCACTTAACTTGATATCTGCTTCAGATGGATTCTGCCCATCCTATAGCATCACCTATAAAGCTTCTGGTTCTAATGCCTCAAGAGATGGGGAGGATGTAAACTGAAATGCACTTTTCTCATGGAAGACCTACCAGTCTGATACATCTTGCCACCAGGAATGCATTTGACCCTTTGCTTTTTGTTTCCTGCGAGGTAAGAAAGACCGTTTTGTTTTCAAATTTACTGGTGATGGTGGACTATCTTTAGTTGGGATTTTATTTTATGGGCTGGAAATAGTGGAGGGTTTGAGGTATGTTATTTTATTGGACTTCTTAGCAGTTTTTTTTTTAACGCTTGTAAACAGTCCAGAATCTTGGGGCAGGGAGGTGCAATGCTAAAGAAATAATAAATTTGCTCTTCTTGCATCCCTATGGCACTCCACATATTGATGAAATTGCTTGTTTATTTTAGTAGCCTTTATCGTTGGAGAGTTCCTATTTATGATGCTAGGATGAAATAAATTGCAGGAGGAAGGGAACCCCTGCAAGGACTCGAGGTGCCTGGCTGCCTCTAAAGATGCACAGAACTCGACATAGCCGGAGAGGTTTCCCAGCTGCATGAGACTCTCCGGTGGTTTTGAAGCCTGCAGCCCCTTTGGCAATCCAGTCCCCTCCCGTCTCCACCACCAGTTCCCGGGACGACTCCCGCGGTGTCTAGCAAGGCCGCGACCTGTAGGAGGAGACTGTGCGGCCTTTTTCTCTCTCCACCTCCGGCTCTCGCCATTGTTCCCGCCCCCTCGCCGAGTGTTTCAGGCCTCTGTTCGCTGTGGCCGCCGCGGGGCCGCTCGCCGTCTCCATCCCGGCTTTTTCTGCCGCAGCCAAACCAGCCTCCTCCTCCATCTCCTCCTCCATCTCGAGCTCGTCTCGCCGCTGGTCTGTTCCCGAGGGGAGATCCCAGGCCTCCGACCGCCATGTCCCGCTATACGCGGCCTCCCAACACCTCGCTCTTCGTCAGGAACGTGGCGGACGCCACTAGGTGAGAGATCGGAGGGAGGCGGCCTGTAAGCTATAGGGAGCGGCTGCGGGAGCGCGGCGGGCCTTTCGGAAGAGCGGTGCCCGTCGCTTCTATTTTGGGAGCAGGGCCCCGGGGCAGCGACGAGGGCTCGGCTGGAGCGTAACGAGCGGCCCCGGGTTAGGGATGGGGGAGAAAGCATCACCATTTTCGAGGAGGTTTTATTTGTTTTAATCCCCCCCCCCCCGACGTCTGTGCATTTAATACAGGGGTAGTCAACCTTGGCTCTTTTATGACTCGTGGACTTCAATTCCCAGAATTCCTGAGCCAGCTTAGCTGGCTCAGGAATTCTGGGAGTTGAAGTCCACGAGTCATAAAAGAACCAAGGTTGCCTACCCCTGATTTAATACATGCACCAAATATTAACCTACTGGGCGAAGATTTGCTTCTCAAGGCCTCTGGGGCCTATCCCAGGGGGAGAACGTTGTTCATTTCCTTGCTAATTTTTTTCCAAAATGTTATTGGGTGTTAAAAAGTCCTAGAGTGCACTATTGGAAAAGTACGACTTTAGGGGGAAAAAAATGAAGCCTCTCCATAGGATTAAGAAGTAAGAGCAGGATTTCCCCCCCCACACACACACACAATTTCAATTCTCCCCCATGCCTTGCTCTGAGGGGGCAACAAATTGATTTAATTCCTATGAGGAAGACTAACTTGCTTTTGTATCACCATAGCAGTATGTTTCTCTGGGGGAAATCTAGCTGCATGCCCCAACATGTTGGTCCCAAGATTTGGGGAGACCTTCATAGATTTTTATATCTTCCCAATGTGCTTTCAGTGAAATGTAAACTGAGGCCAAGTATATCATTCTGTAGATTCAATCTCACCTTCCCTTTCTTTTGATATTATTACCCCCAGGCCTGAGGTTTAATTGAAACTCATATAACTTAATGATGCAAATGGGAATTAGGCTTCTGTAATTTTTTTTAAAATACAAGGTAGGTTCTGTAAATTTTGAGATGTGAAGATAATAATTTGGAAGTGGATTGTATTTGCTGAAATTCTTCCCTGCCTATGAAGAGGCAAAAACTTTGCATCCAGTTGTTTGCAGAGGTTTCAATTCTTCCTGTGTCTTGAAAAGTCTTATCGTGTTAAATGATAAGATTTTTGCTCTCATCTTAACTTCTAGTAGATATAACATGTTTACTGTGTTTCATCAGAATCATATAGATTAATTTTCAATTTTTATTGATTTTAGTTCCCTGATTAAATTAACATTATCAGTTACTATTTTTAATATACATGCTAAAGATGCCCCCAAATTGAATTTGGCTCCTGGTAATTGCATCCATGCAATTTTTTTTGACAAAATTATTTGTTATTGCCTTTTGTGTGTGTGTGTGTGTGTGTGTGAGAGAGAGAGAGAGAGAGAGAGAGAGAGAGAGACAGACAGACAGACAGACAGACAGACAGACAGACAGACAGACAGACAGACAGACAGACATTTATTCCCCATTCTAGTCATCAACCCTGAGATTCCCAAGTTGTCCTTCACCCAAATATAATCAGGGCTGAGACTGTTTACCTCCTTAGATTTATCATTTCGAAAACGAATATAGTAAACTATTTAAGCATTTTTTTTCACATAGGAGATCTTTATCTAAAAGTTTTTATAGTTATCCTATCTTCCCGGGACTTAAAAAGAGAACAGAATAAATAGATTGTACAACATTTGAATCCAAATTAGTCAGAGATGTTTTGGATCTAGCATAGCATCTTCCCCGGTACCTATCACTAGCCCCTTTAAAGGATGCAAACTTTTTCCTGGGCTTATTGGTAGATGTGTAAACTCAGGATAATAAGTGTTTCAAATTAGGAGATGATGATATTATTATTATTTAGCATATGATAACATGACAGCAGTAAACATACATACACAATCCATGTAATTATATATAAAACTTCAATGCGGTATGGCAGTAGCCTTATAACTGGATGTCCAATTCAGCTATTCAGGCGATCACCTCTGGCGTTGCTTTGTGCAGATCTTATAGGGAATCAGAGAACGCATATATTGGGCAATCTTGCACAATATGTTTAATACTTTTGAGAGATGGTAACAGGGCAGCCTATCCTGCTGCTTCTGAAAGCCTCTTGAATTCATAATAATATTTTCCTGAACACGCATTGCTAGTTTTCAGGAACTATCAAGAAATACAGAGAGTGTACTCACTTCTGATTTGAAACACCTTTGTTCAAATCTAAATACTGCACACATCTGAGTACAAATATAAAACAATATTTTGTGAATGGAACTAGAATGTGTTTGTGTAGTTCTTTATCCACTATTGAACCACCACCCTTTTATCTTTGCATTAACAGAAAACTACATCCCTATGAAAACTGCTGTTACAATTGCTAAATCATATCCTGTCTTTATAACCTCTGTTTCAACTCCTGAATTGATCTCAACTCCTGTAACTCCCTGAATTACCTTTAATGCAATAGTCAGGTAATGAGTGATAAAACTGGCGGTGATGGTTTTAGAGCAGGAGGAAAAACATTCCTTCAGCGCTACAACCAAGAGTAACTTAAGTTTATCTCACTCATGGATGAGGGCAACATCAGGAGATCTGATAGATAGAAGAAGGATGCTTCCAGGCCATGTTTGTGTTATAGTTTAGGTACCAGGAGGGAAAGGGTCTTGGTCACTTATTTGGGAGTAGGAAACTTCTCTGACAATTTCACTGAATTTGTTTTCATTGTAACGGATCCGTAAATTATAGGTTGCCTACCTACAAACAAATGATGCTGTGGAAACTCCCACTGATGGAAAAACCAAGGATGTTGTTAGCGAATTATCTTACCTGCTGTTGATCTAGCAGGTTTCTTTCTGCAGCAAGATTTTTGTAGGAAAAAGATAGAATGAAAAACCACAAGGATAGTGAATATGATCACTTTCATTGCTGTATTATATCCCCTTCCTATCAGAATATTCCATGAGGAGAGATACTCACAGGAATTTAGGATGCAAGGCCTCATATTCTGCCTGGGTAGGGAGGGGGTTTTCTGTGATTTCTCTTTCAAAAAATGATCCAATTCCTCCTTGTTTAATGGGAATTTCAGAATTAAACTATTTCTTTAAAGATGAAATAAGCAGTTAATGATTTTCTTCTTTGTTCACCAAAAAATTGGGGAGAATTCATAGCTGTGCAGTGGGAAAAGTACTTTTATTATTTTACATTATAATACAATTGCAATGTAGATTGGCCCTTTTGCACCAGCAACATACATAATCAAGAAATGCTCTATTGAAACAAACAGATTAATTTTGGACAAGGCAAACTAATTAGGATCATGGCTGTTTAAACATTTAAAACTTGCTTGCTAAGATTCTAATGTGGATCTGTACCACCATTCTTTTCACACACACACACCCTTGTAGCTGCTAATTATGTTTTTGAAATATGTACTTTGATGCTCAGATATTCCATCTTTATTTATTGGTTGTTATACTTAAACAACAAGCAATGAATCAAACACACAACTGTTTATGCACTAACTGAGCATACGTATAGCAGAATATAGTAAATTCAGATTGGTTTGTTTAAAGCCAGGCTTGTAGGGATTTCCTTCAGTTTGGAGAGATAGCATTTTTTTTAATGCAAAGGCTTTGTTCTAACCAGAGTGGAATTTCTTTTAATTTTTGTTAGAGAAGTAAGACAATTCCCTTGTTTATAATAGGATTTTTGTTTATTTGCAGTCATTCTCTATGACAAGTGTCCAAATAAATTTATTTTTAGCTAATGATTAAATGATTATTCTGTCCAGCCTACCAGACATTTGTATAAATACCTAGTTATTTAGTTGTATAATCAGAAATCATAGAAGCAAAATTTAACCCAGTTCCAGCAGTTACCCCATGATTCCATTTTCACAACATAGATTTTGTGGATATTGAATTAATCATTTTCTGAGCTCCTATCACATGTTTTTTGGGCTTAATCAAATAGGTTAGACCAGGGATTTTCAAACTTGGCGCTTTTATGACTTGTGGACTTCGACTCCCAGAATTCCTCAACCAGGCATGCTGGCTGGGGAATTCTGGGAGTTGAAGTCCACAAGTCATAAAAGGGCCAAGTTTGAAGACCCCTGGGTTAGACCAACTCTGACCCCTCCTGTATCAAGACTAAAAGAACAACAAAGTTCACACATTGTGCAAATTTTTTTAAATGTGTTATATCCTGCCTTTTCTCCAGGATCTCAAAGTAGCACATACATACATACATACATACATACATACATACATACATACATACATACATACATGTATTAAACAGCTTTTAGTTTGATATTATCCTGGTGTTCGAATTTATTTATTTTATACATACATACATACATACATACATACATACATAAATACATACATACATACATCATTCTCTGTTTCAATTTTTAGATGTGCGTTAGATTGAGCTGGATAACTAGATTCTGAGGTGAGATTTAAAGGTGAAGGTGGAAGTTTAACCTGATTTTACCTAGTGCTAATCTAACATCTTAATATTTGTCCTGTACTGCAGCTATTATGTTTATAACTAACCTAGTTAAGCTTAGTATTTTACAATACATAGTATAATGTATTGTCGAAATGCAGTTCTTAATTACTAATTAGTATAGGTCCTTCAGTAGATGCAATGCTTCTCTGATCCCCATTTATTCAATTCACTGTAGTGCATGATCATTTTTATGAGATCTTGTAACCCTTTTCAAAATCATCACTACACATTTTTACTGTGTACAGAGGTTTTCATTTTCTCTTTCCTGAATTAATTTAATTGTAGACTGCATGTTCAGCTACCACTATATTTGTGAGAGGAAAAGGTCTGCCTTTACTTTCCCATAGTGTTCTCACTTTCATAAGTCCTGGTATCTACCAGGCTAAATTGTACTCTCCTTGGATTTGAAAAGAGGACAATGTATAATAGCAGTTTCAGGAAGGGAGAAAAACTTTGAGATGTTCTTGTTTGAGGCCTTTTTTGTCATGCATTTAGCTGCCTAAATTGTTTCACTGTTCAAATAAAGAACACAAATAAAAATGGTTCGTTATTAGAAAAATAAAGTTAAAGGGAGGTTTTAAAGGTTCCTGTCTGTTTTTGCTTAATATAATAGTCATATATTTGAAAGTACTCAATATTTGCCAGTTTTGATTTCCCCAAATAGCCAAAGTAGTGGTTAAAGTTTGAATTAATACCACAAGAAATTTTAGGATTATACAAAGTATTTCTTTAATATTTTTAAATATAGAAAACATTTCCTGGGTACCAGGTGCCATTATATAGACACACTCATGTTTTTTTGCCTTATTTCTAAAACACTTCAGGCCTGAGGATTTGCGCCGTGAATTTGGTCGATATGGCCCTGTAGTAGACGTATACATTCCGCTTGACTTCTACACAAGACGCCCACGAGGATTTGCTTATATACAATATCCTTTATTTCATTGTATTGTTATTGCGGTGCATTGTTGTTATTGCATCCTAACTTAATGTATTTATTTCTTTGTCTCAGAAAATGTAAAGCAGTCCACAGTGGCTGGCAAGCACCCCAAAGTTTGAATGAACCCGGTTAGATAGAGTCCAAGCAGGCAAGCCAAAAGACACCTTAAAGTTCAAGCTTCAAGGAATAAAGAGGGAGGGTGGAAAAAGATAAAAAGAAAACTGGAAGAGGGGAAGTCCTTTTTCAAGGAAAAAGACAAAGCCACAACACCAAGTTAAGGCTTCGGCTTTCCGACATTTGCACGAGTTCCAAAGTCAAAGCCAAGTCTGATTTGGTTGGTTCTACGGCCCTTGTCAAGTCCATCTAGCAAGCCCAAAAGAGTAACGGTCAAGATCAAGTGACATGGAGGTAACTGCCAAAGTTTCCTTTTGTATCTTATCGCTCAAAACTCTTAAATTTCAAGTCAAGAATTTGTTTGTTTATAACTGTTCTAGTTTTAAATACTGTTTTCTTAAATTAATACAAAATAATTGTATACAAATATTTGTTGGTTTTTCTATTAATTTATTCCCTAACAAAATAGATATAAATGCAATAGCGCTTGTTTTGATTATCTAGCACAGTTTTTATATTATCAAATTGTATTTGTTGTAAAAGAATTAAAAAAACAGCAAAATGAAAAGGAAGTCAGATGATTATGAAAGCAAATGGCAGAATAATATTGAACTATATTTTCAAATTCTAAACTGTGGTTATCCATCAGATGCTAATGAAGGCCCTTATTGTAAGGTGCATATTCTAACTATATGTACACCTATTCAGAGATGCACTACAAATATAAGGGCTTCAGTTATGCAGAGAATTCCTTCCTGTCAGGACTTTTGGCATTCATATAAAAGAAGAAGCAAATTTGTTACACAGATATGCCATTGAAATGAAATGAAGTTAGCCTGTACAGGAATTTTGTATTCGTTTCAGTGGTCAAAGATTTTTGGATTTAAAATGTATTCAGTCTTCTGTATTTTGTGTGTGACATTGAGATGCTTCATATTTTGCAGCCCACCAGCTATATGTGTCTTTCATTGCTGCTTTTAACTAGTTTCAGATGTTGATTTATTGCATTTGTTTACTTTTGGCCAATGTTATATATACCCAGTATGATTCACTCAGCAAGCCATCATTAAAATAATTAAGTCTGTAATGTCTGAATATAGACAAAGTGTGAAGGGAGATTTACAATTCCAAACACAGCTGGCCAGGATTTTGAAGTCCCACACAAAATACCCACCAACCTTGTAATAGATAATGCTAGCAAATAAAATCTACGTACTAACTTTTGCATGCCTGTGCAAAATTAGAATGATTACATGGTAAGGTAATGATATCTTCTATCTATTCTGGGACCCTGGTAGATGCTTGACCTTGATAGAATGCAAAGCCAGTAGTGTTTTGAAACATTTAGTGAACCCCTGGAAGTGAATTGTGGCCATTGGTCCTTTTTCCTGAATGGGGACGTGGTCTTCCTTTCACACTTTGCATATTTCTTAGCATATGCCTTGATGAAATGTTAGTATAATTAAGAGACCACGTAGGATATACAACAGTTAAGCTTTATGTAGAATATAAAAATAAGATGATTTATTTTAAAAATATTTGAGTGTGTGATCTATGATGTATGATACAATGTTTTGCTTTGTGCATGTTTAAAGTGTCCTTAACAGACAGTCATGTTTGAAGATGTTCGTGATGCAGAAGATGCTCTTTATAACCTCAATAGAAAGTGGGTATGTGGCCGGCAAATTGAAATACAGTTTGCACAAGGGGATCGCAAAAGTAAGTGAAAATAAACACATCACTTACTTATTCTGCAAATATTTATTTAAGAAAGTAGATTTTCATATTGCTTAGAATGATACAAGCACAATAATCATGACAGTCACAATGTAGAGGGACAATTTATTAAAATGTAAAAGTAATAGCATGCTAACAATGTAAGATGATTCTGTTTCCTTGCATTCTCCCAGTTTTTGTTTTAATTTCCAGCCCCAGGTCAGATGAAGTCAAAAGAACGTCGCCAGTGTTCTCCAATGGATTATAGAAGATCAAGAAGCCACAGCCGAAGGAGGACACGTAGCCGAAGTTCATCATGGGGCTGGAGTAGAAGACACTCTGACAGCTTTAAAGAGTAAGATAGTTTAAATATCAACCAGTGTAAAAAAAAATGCTACTTCATAAATTAGGGAGTTTATTATGATTCGGTTGCATAAACTGCTTCAAGAGAATATAATGACAAGGATGATAACCAATGAGGGAAAGGAAATGCTGTTCAAAATCATTTTGGAGCATAGAAATACCATAAATAATGAATAATGACATCTCTTATATGTATAGGTTCAGTAAATCTGGCTCCGTAAAAAATAATTTGAACACTTAGGACTAGAGATTAAAATTAATCCACGATGTAGAGTTATTTACAAATTCTTATGTTTTATAACTTTGAAGCACTTATCTTTGCTTTGCATGCTGTCTCTTAGCGGTTGTATTCTTGTTGCCGTTGCAAGGTACAAAAAGTACACACAAGATCTACAAAATACAATTCGGAATGGTTTCAGCAGAAGGCTAAACAATTTAGGCATGTTATCCAAGGAAGGTCCATCCACATTCACTTTCTGGGATAATTTTAAATTGTTTGGATCAAATAAAGATCTAATACTGTGGATGATTTGCAGGTCAAGACGTAGACGACATTCTTATAGTCAATCTAAGTCTCGCTCAAAATCTCTTCCAAGGCATTCCAGCTCACCAAGACGATCTGTCTCGCCTCAAAGGAATTCTACCTCTAGAGGAAGATCACGGTCAAAATCATTGCAGAGGTGTTCAAAATATGCTGAGAAGTCGCCATCCGGCTCCCACCGAAGACGTTCTACTTCAAGGACAAAGTCGCGGTCACATCCAAAGCGCTCAGGCTCAGTTACCAGATCATTATCTAAATCTCCGCGGAAACATGCCAACTCCAGTTCTCGCTCTAGAAGTTTCTACCAGAGAAATAGTAACCAGTCGGTATCTGAAGAAGATTAATGTGTTTTTCTAACAATTTTTTATGAGCACAACTAAGAACAAAATTTGTCCAAAATGTAACTGAAATGTAAGATAATTGAATAATGAGAGATCTTGCTATGTTCCTTTGGTCCATATTTTAATAAGCAGAACTCTTTAAAATTTGCTAACATTAAAGAGAAACATTTATTTAGCCTAGATTAGTTTCAATTTGAACCTAAGCTCACTCTATTGGTGTAAGTTAGCATTATGCTCTGCTCTTACATCATTTTCTTTTTTGGACAGGATTGTCTTTGGACCTTTCTTCCAAATCCTTGGAACAGCAAAAAAAATTATGCTACTGTAATTTTGTACTGGCTTAAGGGTGCACACAGGTCTGTCCTGTGCTTTGTAGTGGAGTTGAAAGGGAAGGCCTTTCTCTACCCATTTCTACTTACTTCAGTAGGTATTGCAGTACAGTTATGTCAGTCTGCCAGAAATATGGATACGCTAATGGATCAGATTTTCCTTTCCACCTATGCAACTCATTTGCCCCCCCTCCCCCCGAGATTTCCAAGCAAGACTTAAGTGTAGAAGGAGATGAGCATGCGGAAGTGAGTAAGTAAAAATCAAAGTAAAATTGCATGCAGTTCAATGCTTGAATGGTAGATCTGCCCTTGGGATAGGATTAAATGTTCCAATAATTTGTTTTTTTTATATTGGTTATGGTAACAATTTCACTGCTGTTGCCCTTATTTTATTTGGCCCTATTTGGTGTCTTTTTGGTGATACCTAGATTTTATTGGAGGACAACCATTCATGTATATTCTTCAGACAAGTATGTTTTAAGAAACAAAAATTGATAGGAAGGCACTGCAACTCAACTTGCAGGTTGTAAAGCGCCTTTAAATTAAACCTTGTCTATGTTTCAGATTAGAGAAGCATGTTACAGTGTAAAGGGAGAGATACTTGTATAACATGGAGATACATGTATCACATAAGGCAGAAGTCCAGCATTTGTCTTAATTTCATAGTTAAAACTATGATTAGATCTTGCAATATCACTTCAGACCTTCATTTGAAAAGAATAATACAATTAATATGCAATTCTCTGGACTAAAAATATGAATTTACATGAATGCGTTGTAACATTGCATTGCATTAGATCTCACTTTGGTTGTCAGATGGAGGTGAATTTCAGGAAATCATTATTTTTCCTTAAATGATAAAATATGGTTGAACGTTGGATTGCTAGATCGAATGTGGCATGTGAAAGGGTGTACAAGAACACTAGTGCAAATGAAGTGCTAAAATGACTTGTAGTACTTGATATGTTCTACTTTGAAACCTTCCTCATTTCATTAATAATAACATAATTTGCCTGCAAATAGAAAAAGAGCTTGGCAGTGAAATGCCAAGTCTGGATTTTTTTTTATTCCTGGATAGGCTGTCTCTTCTGTAAAGAGCTTAAAACAAAATATAAATTTCATAATGTAATTTCCATCTGCAGACTGAACTGGTACAGTTCATTTTCTCATTACATACTGCTATTTAGTGGGAACAGCTTTTGCTCTCGTGCAGCAATCTTTTGCTCTGCAACATGAATAATGATCACAAAATGATTAATTTGATTGAAATTAATGCTTATGGAAAACAGATTAGTCAAACAGATTTTTTAAAAAGGAGATAATTAGAAATATAATTTGGGGTTATTGTAATATAAGTTGTTAAGCACATGATTTTCATGTGTGGTTAAATGTTTTTGTGAAACTCTTATGTTTGTTGTGTAAAATCTATCACATCTATATTTTCAAAATATCATTGTAGTAGGTGATCGGTATAGATGACACCAACAAGCATTTTAAATTCTAAGCCTGTAATATGATTTAACAGTTAAGCGACTCAGTATAAAGTCATTATTAGCGTGTTTAACTCAAGTAACAGAGGGTATTCTAAAAAATTTTGTATTTTACAATATATGATACTGTGCATTGTGTAGTAATGTTTGGAAACTTATTTGTTTTTTAAATGTATAGTAACTGATGTCTGTTACATGGTACAAGCACTGCATTGTATTAAAATAATTGTAGTGGCAGTAAAACTACATTTCATGAGCAAGTGTTGGGAGTATCATTGTTATTTCATAACTTAAAATATTTCAATAAAATACATGCAGTTTTCATCTTCGCTTTTTAAAAAATGTGTTTGCTTTCAGAACCTTGCAAATTGCTTGCAACAGAATCAGACTGACTTTTCTTTTGCATTACAGGAACCACAACCAACGTAATTCTTATGATCTCGGGTTGCTTGAAAGGACCGGTGCCATATAGGGGAAATTCTGCAGTGCTCTTCCTATTGTGAGTGTTAGGTTTTGAAGATTAATGCTGTCATGAAGGGCAGTTACACTAGAGACATTCCCCCAAGCTTTTTTTTTTTTGCATTGTTAGGAATGTTACAACTGTTTCCTTTCCACATCTGCCTCTCTCCAAGATGATGCATGGATGGAATGGAAATAAGCTGTTATTTTATTTCAGAACTGAGCAGTCTGGTACAGCAGACATGCACTTAGAATCAACAGAGTTCGAAATCCTTATATATGAACATACCTTCTGATTATCCCAGAGTTTATTCCAGCAGCATAATTTGTTGCTGCTTATTAAACAGGTGTAACAGTAAAAAAAAATATGATCTGCTAATTGGCAAACCAGAAGTCTGATAGCTTACTTGCTTCATTTATTATTGGTTAACTTTGGTCATGGAGATAGCACAAACTTGTACGTGCCTATTCTGAAGTAATCCTCAGTAATGTTAATGAAGGTTATGATCATTTATCGCTAAATCACAATGACAGGCTGCTAAATCCAATTAAACCACATTATGGCTTAGTGTAATATGGACAAATGTGACTATTGTAAAGACATACCGTGTTTCCCCGAAAGACCTACCCTGAAAATAAGCCCTAGTTCTGGGGTGTGGCGCATGCCTAAAAATCAAGCTAGGGCGGGGGTGGAGCTTACCATTGCAGCCATGGATCGACACTTGCCTCGCTGGCCCACTTCTTCTGCGGTCGCAGCTTCATTCTGCAGCTGAGAATGGAGCTTGGGCCTGCATTTCACAGTAAGAGGCCTTTCCAGAAGGCCTGTGCAGCCAAGAACTGAGCTATGGATTCAATCTATGGTCATAGATAACAATATCTACAATTATATGCTAATGACATTGAAGCATCATTATCATGCCTTCAAATCAGGCACGACTCAAATCATGCCTATTCTCTAGGCAAATTTTCAGAAGTAGTTTGCCACTATTCTTCCTAAGGCTTAAGAGAGACTGGCTCACAGTTACGCAATTGGCTTTTTGTTGAGGAACCCAGAGACGATCTTGGAGAACAACTTCTTGGCTTTGGCTTCTTTTTGTTTTCTCTGCAATTTCTACCGTCTGTTCCGATCTCCAGCTTGGTTTCTTCTGTTTCTTGTTTTTTGGCAGTGTCTTTTCATATGCATTGAGAACGTTTTCATTTCATTCTGTAGTTTGTCTGGTTTCCTGTCAGTGGAATTCAAGACTTCAAAGGAATTCCTGGTGTTCTTGAAAATGGTTATAAAATTAGGATCATATCATGGAAATTGGTTGATTTTCTTCTGTGGTACTTAACTTGGAATTTGCATATGAGCAGTTCATGATCTATTCCATGGTCTGTCTACATCTCTGCTTTTGATTGCTTGAAGATCATTTGGCTTTTTGAAAATTTATTTAAACAATTACAAAAGGAAAGATAAGCAATCTGAACATTGGAAATTGACCTGAAAAAGAGAAAAGGAAGAGGAGAGAGAGAGAGAGAGAGAGAGAGAGAGAGAGAGAGAGAGAGAGGAAACAAAGTAAAAATCTACAGTAACTACCTTATTAGACTTTGAAATTCAGAATATTGCTACAATTGCAATTTTATTAAGTAGATTGATACTATGAACCTCTTAGGGAGAAAGTATATGGCCAGCTGAAGGTAGTTTCCAGCAATGGGATCTTGACAATAGGAAGGTTTAATGCAGTGGTTCTCAACCTTTTTAATGCCACGACCCCAACCGGTCGTAAGTCGAGGACTAAACCGGTCGTAAGTCGAGGACTAAACCGGTCGTAAGTCGAGGACTACCCAACCGGTCGTAAGTCGAGGACTTTCCCTGCCCGGGAGCGCCGCGCATGCGTGTTTCTGCCCCCTGCGCTGGCCGAGGCGTAGCTGGCAAGCGGCAGAGACGGAGCAGGCCGACCACCAGCTGGCCCAGCCCAAGGGAGGTAAGGCACCCGCTGGAAAAGGGGAAAAAAATGGCAGACAAAAAAAATGGTGGACAGCCTTGCTTGGCGACCCCCGTGAAATGGTCGATCGACCCCAAATGGGGTCCCGACCCACAGGTTGAGAACCACTGGTTTAATGGATCAGTTTTAAAATTGAAAAACAGAGCTATATTCAGTGCCTGGTGAAATGACAATTTCAGTTCTGTTTTTAGCTTATTGCAGAGAAATAAATTCCAGTGTTAAAGTCTCATAATTTAAACCATCTAATACTGACAAAAATATTCAGAAAACCAATGGGGAGGATAGCAAATTGTAACCAAAATTTTTTAAGATTAAAATTATATTTATTAAGATGAATTGGGACATACAACTGCCCTCAAAGTTCTGGAATCTTAAATCTTTTAAGTCTTAAATCTTTGAAAATATCCACTGTGATGGTGAATCCAATGTCACTTTAAGATTGATGTTATCATTGTTCTTTCACTCAGCGCAATCCATAGTTGGTCTATGGAACATTTGCAGACATATGACCTACCTGTGACTGTGTAGCATTTAAGCTTAGAGCTTATCTGCAAACAAGCTGTAGAACAAGCAAGATGTTCTTGTACATCAATAAACTTGCTGGGAAACAGATGTTTCTATACACTCTCATAGATTTCAAGAAACAGGGAAGGAAACAGGAAATTAAGATGAGACAAAGTGGACTAGGATGTCCTGGACCTGCTGAAGACTTTCACTGTTGGAGTGGGGGTGGGGGTGCTCAATCAAAACTCCTGAAGGGATCGTGAATAGGATCTGGACAGGACTGCTGAAGAAGGAAGATGGAGGTTTTCTCTGAATGTGATCTTCCCAAATAATCTCCCTTTTGATCCCAAGGGGAGATTATTTGAAAGGAGATCACATTCAGAGAAACATTTATGACCCTATTCTGTCAATATGAGAAATTGCCAGCTAATACTCTCGTTTAACTCTAATGAGAAAAAGTAGGAGGGAGTAATTGTTACATACAGGGCACAAGCAGAAATTTCACTTTACAGGCAGGACAATAATTTACCTTTTCTAAGCTGCTTAAGACCTGGTTGTTCACCCAGGACATGAGCTAGAATGAGCCTCAAGCTTCTTTGGTTGGTTATTGACTGCTCAGCTTTTGGAGTTTGGTCCTGGTTAGCTGTCTTTTCCTCCCTTTTATATCTGTAAATCACTCAAGAGTTGCAGCCTCAAAACTGAAACAAAATCCTCCTAGAGAGTCATCTTTTGCAGAGTGCACAATGCATATTCCCCTCACTCAGATATGACAGATCATAACTGAGGCAGCCCAAGGGACTCGATCAACCGATGTTACTCTACTTATACCATATGGCATATGGTTTCATACTGGCTTGTCTACACCACAGCTCTTTCAGTTTTGAAGAGGGGATTTTGACTGACGACTGGTCTCTTAGTTGCACTAGCACTGAACAGCATGGTCAAGAGATACTGTTACATTGTGGGCAGTGCTAGAACCTAGTTGTGGAATTAAGAGACTTTCACCCAGTTCAGGAAGGAGCTATGCAGACAAAACACGGCAGTGTGTGTCATGTGGAATGAGGCAGCTCCCTATATCACCAAAAGAGCAAGATGCTCCTAAGGCAGGGGTTCTCAACCTTGGCAACTTTAAGACTTGTGGACTTCAACTCCCAGAATTCCTCAGCCAGCAAAGCTGGCTGAGGAATTCTGGGAGTTGAAGTCCACAAGTCTTAAAAGTTGCCAAGGTTGAGAACCCGTCCTAAGGTCTGCTGTCTTTAGCAAGTTACACAGAGCCTTGCAATCTGGCTGACCTAGCTAGATTTGCCACAGAGAGGAGCAAATCCAGCTTTATTGAACACTTGGGGAGTCAAAATACCCATTTCACTCATTAAAATGCAAATCAATTTATAACTTTTTTTGAAATGTGTTTTTTGGATTTTTTTTTTGTTATTCTGTCTCTCACTGTTAAAATAAACCTACCATTAAAATTATAGACTGATCATTTGTCAGTGGGCAAACGTACAAAATTAGCAGGGGATCAAAAAAAATTTCCCCCTCACTGTATTTCAGGGCTGGGGGTTAATGTGTTTTGTCTGTTATACATTAACCATGCTTTGTAATATGACTTGGAATTATGCCTTGTTACTTCAACATAGAACTTGTACAGCTCCCAATATGGTAGTGTGCAAAACTCATTGTTACAGAAACAGAACCATCCCAGTTTCGCCACATTCCCTTTCATCTGTTCTGGAAGTTTTACTTATGGAAAATATACAAACTGCTCCCAGAAATGACACATTCCAGATAAACATCAATGTTATTTCTGAACCAGTTTGATAAGGAACAAGCAACTGTATATACAGGCTGCAATTAATGATGGGAGTAGCACTGGAAAAAATACACTTACCATGAAGATCCGCTTGCATTTTCAACAGTGGACAGAAGGTATATCTTTCTTTAGATATGATCTTGTTGAAAAGGATACAGTTCTTTTTCATGTTTCTCACATTAAGGAACTAGCTTTTACTTCAAGGGTCTCCTATTAATTATACAGAAGAGTACTGTACAAGTCTTCCATATCTAAAGTCAGCAAAATTAAATTTGCTAGAGTAAATGGAAGAACTCTGACCCGCATATCTCAGCTGCAGGAAAATATATGCTTTGTGTACTGGGCCTCAGCTATTATACCGTATACCGGTATTTAAATTGACATTCACATTGTAATATGCAGTTGCACCCAGTTTGTGATTTTAATGACCAATTTTCTAGGCCATTAAGACTATCACTGTTAAGGCTATGGAGTACTCCATCTATATGCAATCTTAATACAATGCAGTGAACTTATAAAAAGAAATTACTATATTGTAAAATACTACATTGCTTCTAATTAATAATTATAGCATTTAGAAAATGTAACCTGTTATCACTGACATAACCCAAAATGCTTACAATTGATATTGCTTTATCAAAATTCAGCCAGACAGAAAAATACATAAAAGATAACCAAGTAAAGGGGAGGCCAAATTGTTTTATTTAATTTTTTTTTAAACTAGTCAATTATTTCTGGCAGATAGCACTATTATCCATGTTAGATAATAAGTGCTAGATTTCAGGTGTTGTCAATTAAATTCCAACGTTTGTATGGAAGCTTGTATGGTGTAATTGAATTTAACTCCATATACTGTTTTCAAACAAATTCACATCTTTCTGAAAGCTTATTTTTCAATAAAATGTTGTGTGCCACAGACTGTAAAATTTTTCAGTAGTGCAACAATAACGTTTTCACATTTCCATTTGAATGTCAATAGATTTTTTTCCTTTGAAAAATCTCAATACCTTGTGCAAATGTTGACAGATCTTTCCATGTGTCAAACACACTTTAAAAAGATGTCCATTATTATGTACAAAAGCCATCTACCGCATGGGCAATGTAAAATACATCCTTTCATAACAAAACTAAAATGTACCTCAAAATATGAATATACACATTACATGATATACACTATTTACATATCCATAAAAAATTAGAGTACAAGTTTCTGTTTTTAAGACTAGTCAGTCCTTTGAACATTAAAATGCAACAAGGCTGGATTTAGATTGCTGGCATGTCCTTTGTCAATATCCAGAAGCTATGCTTGAACTTTTAAGAGTGTCTTTAAATGGACTTCCATCATCTTCCTGTTTTGGTCAGAAAATTCAACAGTGCTCCCAACCCAATGACTGGGAGGTTTTGGAAGGACACTGGGTGAAGGAGGATCACTAAATTTTGCCCCAGCATAATTTTCTTTTTGGTTAGCTTCTGTCAGAAAAATAGATTTCTTTGCTTTAAAATTTTCTGCATTTTCCAGAGACTTTTTCTCCTGCCTTTTAATGAGTTCAGATGATAATGATTCTTGCCAAAATGTATTTTCACACTTTTTTGTAGATGGAAATTTATTTAGTGGTATGTTACATTTACTCCTCTGTCTATTACTCTTCGATTGGTCAGATAGATGCATATTGTGAACAGGCTGATTGTAAGGCAGCGGATTCTTCTCAGATTTTCCCATCCTGTTTTTGAACAACTGCAAAGATAAAAGATAATCTCATAAATATTTCTGACAATAATATGTAATGTCTTAATATTTAATAAACTCTATTTAATCCTTTATTCCATTACATGTTAGCTTATAGTTCCATTTAAAAATAAAAGTTAGGCTCACCTAGTGATAAATTGCCTGCGTGCACTTCACAATTCATTTCTTGCCTTGCCTTCAGTTTGTAAACTAGAGATTTCAGGACCTGTCTCACTTTAGAGACAATAGACAAGATAGCACTTGTCTAAAAATCATAGTTAAAAATTAAAACAAAAACAAGTAGAATTCTAACATCTTAATACTAATCCTATACAGGTATATGTTTCAATCCCACTAATTTCAAGAGTGTGCTTTTAAGCCCAAAATTTAAGGTTACTTGCTAAATGGTTGAGGAATGCACTGCTACCTGAGGTATGAGAATTTTTATCACCAATCAAACCACTGCTGTATCTTGTATATTCAACTAAGTTAGTTACTTTAAAACTGTGAATTAAAATAATAATGTAACTTTCCTCTAACTAGTCACATAGGTTCCTACTCAAATGACCAATTAAAGACCTGAGGATTTGATTAGGGATCTGAGGATTTCATAGCTGTAATACTGTTTCCTACTAAACTGTGCAATTCAGATTTTTACAATGCACAAAACATTAAAATAATGTTCCTAAGTGAGAAACAGTGCCAGTTAAAACTAGTATAAACCAGGGGTCTTCAAACTTGGCCCTTTTATGACTTGTGGATTTCAACTCCCAAAATTCCTCAGCCAGGCATGCTGGCTAAGAAATTCTGGGAGCTGAAGTCCACAAGTCATAAAAGGGCCAAGTTTGAAGACCCCTGGTATAAACCATCAGATTATGCTACATTGCAAGATTGATAAAGATCTTGATAAGGGAAAAACTACGAAAATGAAGACAGCCCTCAACAGAAAAGAGTGTATTTTCTGTAAGGTGTCCCTAATGTCTGGAAGATCCTGGGGGGGGGGGGGGGAGGGGAATGGTTGACCTTAAAAACATTTAAACACCAGTTGCCTGCCAGGATGAAGCACAAGCCACAAGGACCCTTCTATACAGAAGCATCACAATTAAAACAAGGCATATACTATGTCAGGGGTCCCCAACTCCCGATACCAGGCAGCAGCATGCCAGCAACCAATGTGCACAAACAAGCCTATCCAGGCAGCACACAAAACTACGCACCCTCCAGTCCGTGGAAAAACTTCTCTCCACTGAACCGTCCTTGGTAACCAAAAGGTTGGAGACCTCTGTACTATGTGACATCTAGTTAGAATAGAATAGAGCTGGAAGGGACCTTGGAGATCTTCTAGTCCAGCCCCCTTCTCAAGCAGGAGAACCTACACCGTCTCAGACAGTCACTTCTTAAAAATCTTCAGTGATGGAGCGCCCACAACCAGCTGTTCCACCGGTTGATTGTCCTCACCGTCAGGAAGTTTCTCCTTAATTCCAGGTTGCTTCTCTCTTTGATCAGTTTCCCAACCATTGTTTCTTGTCCTGCCCTCTGGTGCTTTGGAGAATTTGACCCTCTCTTCTTTGTGGCAGCCCCTCAAATACTGGAACACTGCTATTGTGTCTCCCCTATTTCTTCTTGTCTTTAGATTAGCCAAACCCAAGACCTGCAGCTCTTCTTTGTATGTTTTAGTCTCCAGGCCTTCGATCATCTTAGTAGCTCGTCTGAATTTTTCCCCCAAACTCTCAACATCTATTTTGTGATACGGTGACCGAAATTGGCTGCAGTATTCCAGGTGTGGTCTCACTAGGGCAGTGTTTCTCAACCTGGACAATTTTAAGGCATGTGGACTTCAACTCCCAGAATTCCACAGCCAGCAATGCTGGCTGTGGAATTCTGGGAGTTGAAGTCCACATGCCTTAAAATTGTCGAGGTTGAGAAACACTGCGACTAGGGTTTTATAAAGCGGTAATACTACTTCGCGTGATCTTGATTCTATGCCTCTGTTTACACAACCCAGGACTGTATTAGCTTAAGTTAGGTGGTTCCACTGGGACCATAACATTTAAGATTCAAATATGTACAAATTGAACAGATCAAACTGGCTGGGAAGTCCGGTCCGCATCGTACCGCCCCTCTCCCAATCCAGACACTGGCTTTTCGGTAAACAAGCGGAGGGGGAGCGGGCACTGCGAAGCGAAACCAAACCCATCAGCCTTTTCTCTGCCATGGAGGCCGGCCCTCCCCCGTTGCCCATTGGCCACGGCTTTGCCGTCGCGTCGCTGTGCCAGGGGTAGGCAACCTTGGCTCTTTTATGCCTGGTGGACTTCAACTCCCAGAATTCCTGAGCCAGCCATGCTGAGGGGAAAGGGAGAGGTTCCAAGCTGAGCCATGCTGGCTCAGGAATTCTGGGAGTTGAAGTCCACGAGTCATGAAAGAGCCGAGGTTGCCTACCCCTGGCCTGGGCCCACGAGCTGAATCCGTCTGTTGCTGGGCGCAGGCTCGGAGCCGATTGGTGCGCGGTTTCCACCTATCAGCGCCCGTGGAGTCTCCCTGCGGCGGCTGCCTTTCCGCGCAGGCGAGCTAACGGAAAGGCGGCTCCTCCCTCCTCCGCTTCGAGAAAGGGCCGCTTCTTGGCTCTCTTGACGCCTTACCTCTTTCCTGCAGGGCTTGTTTGTAACGACCGGGGTCGTTCTCGGCGAAGGCGCCGGAGCTTCCTCGGCGGAACGTCCCATGTCCAATCCAGGGTCTGACGAAGCGGCGGGGACGTCGCCGCGGTTGCGCGTCCCTTGCGCGGCGTTTTTCCGTCCCAAGCCGGCCCGGTGTTGCTGGAATTGCTGGTAGCGACTCTGCAGGAGGCCAGAGGGAGCGGAACGGATCTTCCGTCTTCGTCGCCTGACTCTTTTCAGCGACGGTCTTGCGCTCCCGTTTGGTCCTAGGCCCGGACAGCAGCCGGGTTGGGGGCTTTCGCCGCCGTAGTCCGCCCGCAGGAGCCGTTTAAAAAGGGACGCAGGAAACGGGCGACAGTCGTCGGTACCGGCCGACACCCGGTTTAGAAAGGGCGAAGGCGCTGTGGTAGTCACCATACCGAAGGCTTTAGAATACGCGCGTCAGCGCGGGGGGAGGGGTGAGCAAGGGAGGGGAAAAAAGATCGGGGATGGGACTGCTGAACCTCGGCTGGAGCCGAGGCCGCGCTGGTTTAAGCGAGCAGATCCTCTCTCAGGAGAACATGGCGGGGGAGTGAAGCGAGGCACCCCAACGCCCCTACTGTTGTTACTTCGAGAAGGACGCGCCCTCTTCCTGTGGACCGCCAATCAGAAGAAAGCCGCAGCGGGAGCGTCCGCCTCCCGTCCCTGACTGTTCAATCAGCAGAGAGGTCGCTCCTTTACGGCATCTACGCCACCAATCCGGGCAGGCATAAAGCTTGCAGGCAGGGGAGGGGGGCTCACCCTTTCTAGAGTCCTTTAAAGTTTTCTGTGGGCATAGCGGCAAATCATGGCGGGCGGGGAGTGTCCTTTGTCTAGCGCAGGGGTAGGCAACCTCGGCTCTTTTATGACTCGTGGACTTCAACTCCCAGAATTCCTGAGCCAGCATAGCTGGCTCAGGAATTCTGGGAGTTGAAGTCCACGAGTCATAAAAGAGCCGAGGTTGCCTACCCCTGGCCTAGCGACAGGCCGCCCCTCCGATTTCGGTCAAGTACTGAGTAAATAAGCGCAGGATTGCGTTATTGGGCGGCGGCGCCCAATCAGAATAACCGAACGGCACGTAGCCCGCCTCCCTTAATTGCGTGACCGCAAATCCGGAAGGAGAAGGAAAAGGCGAGTGGGAAGTGGTCGCCTTTACGAGACGAAGGAGAAAGAGCGGGAGGTCCGAACGGGCGCCGGTGGCCGGCTATGGCGGAGGAGGCAGCGGCTGCAGTAATGGTGGTGCCGCGAGGCCCGGAGGCCGCGGGGTTGCTAGAGGAATGCGATGGCCCCGGCCGTCAGGAGGAGAGTCCTGCCCGCTTTGCGGCCACCGGCTTAGATCAGCAGGTCTGGCTGAGCTCTTGGATGGGTTCCGCCTGCCAAATCCCGGTGGTTGATCCCAAAGCCCTGCAGGACTTGGCAAGTCTGGCCGTCCGGGTGGCGACGCAAGTGGAGGAGCTGCTGCGAAATGTGCAAGGCGCCCTGCAGGCTCTGACGACCCTCAGTGTGGGCTGCATCCAGACCTACCGAGATGGGGTGGAGAGCCTGGGAGACGCCGTAGACACAAGCATCCGCTCCATGTACACGCTAATGGCGCGCTGCGAAGAGCTAGATCTGGAGCTGCAGCCGGTACCGGCCCTGGCTAGATATATCCGGGACATGAAGAGTACTCTGGACAAACTGGAAGGCCTCTGCAAATAAATCTACTGGGCTGCTTTCTCCTGGTGGCCTCTCGGACCTTGAGCCTTGTCTCCAGCCAGAATGCCTGTCTCTCTTAATAGAGTTTTCTTCAGGACCCTCTGCTCGGTAAATCTCAGGATCCCTGCAAAGCTAACTGCTAACCAGCTGTGAGAAACTGGATGAAATTGTCCGTTTAATAAACCAGTTCTTCCTCAGAACGTGCTCCCCTCTCTTGCAACAATGCCAACCAAGAAGAACCCATATTTCCTTGCCCATAAGGTGTTCTGTAAAAAAAAACTCCTAAACATTTCATCTTGATAATTTTATGTAGTCTGCTCTCCATATATGTTTATTCAGAAGTAAATCCTAATGTTTTGGGTGAGGCATACTTGAAAATAAAAGATCGTGCAAGAGTTTAGTCTTGACTTGCCACGCAATAGAATTTTAATTCCTGAATAAATGTGTAAGTTGAACTGCAAACAGAATAAAACATGCTTTTTAGTTGCAAATGTTTATGTAGGCATACATGACATTCTTAACTAATGAGATGATTTATATAAATTTAACGTAATGAACAATGCTAATATCTAAACTTAGTTTCACACAGAATTGTTTATATAAGCAATATTAGCATTTATCTTAAACTAATGTTTATATTGTAAACATTGGCTGAATGTTTAGATTGGCTGAAATTTGAAAATACTGGAAATATTAAGGTGAAGTAATATTCACAAATCAGCCAAGCCACATTACTTAGACTAAAATTCCTGGAGGGCAATGATGTAATATTGAGAAGTTGCAATGTAATAACTGATCTGGGAATTTCCAGGGCTACAATCTGCCCTCATTTATGAACTGATTAAATGATGTTACAGAAAGTCACTATATATAAATCCCAGGATATGGTATAAAACAGGATATGGTATATTTGATATATTTGGCATATATGGTGAAACTAAGGCTGATTGCTAGTCAGTGTTTGAATATGTTGTCTACAGCATGTTGGTGAACATTGATGGGCTTTTGAGATCCACTTAGTCTTTCAGTAGAATCCACAAAGACCACCAGGCAGGAGAATTAAGGAGGAAGTGCTTAATATATATTTAGTTTGGGAATTTATTTTCATTACTAGAGATGGACCTGGAATTCGAGCATAAATATAGTGATAATTCCAGGTTTTCTTGATTTAAGTAGTCACTTTAAAATGGGGAAATACTTTAAAAAGCAATAAAGATTTATTAAGAACCTGCAAGTCAATGTTCGTCATGCTAAAATGTATTAGAGTCTTTTCTAATTTCTGTACAGACTTGATACACAGTGCCTTGATTTCTATAGGAAGATGAAATGTAAATGTCAAATATTATCTTTTGATTCTGCCTATAATTACTTTGACAATGTTGTGAGTGTTTGAAGTGGCTTCATCTCTCTATAATCTCTTCTGATCTAGCATTTGCTCTCAGGTACCTGTAATGTATAAAACATTAATTATTGACCTGTAAAACTATTAACTAAATAATCTGTGTTGATGATGTTTATCATTTAAAACATTAACAGAATTGTAAAGTAAACTATGAACAGTATTCTTGGATTTTATTGTTCAAATCAAAAGTCTGTTCCATAGTGTTCCCATTTAAAAAGAGTAATATTAATATAAAGCTTTTCCTATCTGAATATAAGATGCATAACTGTAGTCATTAGATTTAGTCAAAGTTCAGCACTTCTATTTGAGAATGTCATTCATTTTCTACTTGAAGTCCGTGATGCTAAAGAAGTGCTTTTATACAGCAATCTTCTATGTTAATATATGTCCCATTGATTTTTTAAAAAAATACCATAGGGTGTGAAAAGGATCTAATTTTTTTAATAAAATACCACTTTATTCTCTAAGAATGTTAGAAGTTTGTGCCATCTTAAGGATCAAATCTTCATTGTACAAGCTTTTATACTGTCAGTTACATGGTGAATTATAATAAATGTTACTTTTCAAACCTTAAGTTTAAATACTACAAAACAAGAGCATGGTACTATAAATTTACTGCAGGAATTCACCATGGAAACAGTTGCTTTACTATTCTATTAGGGCTTTATAGTTAAAACCCTACAGTTGAAATTTGAAAATTTTATTATTAGGATTTAGAATAAAATGTTTTCATAATCATGCTTTTTAAATCTGCTTGGTAAGTTTTTCAGATATTTTTAACTATTTCTAACTTGGTCATTATCCTAACCCTATAGTTAGAAAGTACTTTGATTCTTTGTAGTTGGTTGTGTTTGCTAAAGATGCTAACCTCTTAAACCAAACTTCTGGAGTCACATAACATAGTAAACTATAAACTAATTATATTGTCTTGGTTTGCACAACACACAAATACAATATGTTTGGCTAGTTTGTGGTTGAATGTATTATGTGAGTACTGTTTTTGAGTTATAGTATGACAACGCAGAGCATTTGAACGTGTGTCACAACACGCAGAAACATTTTTAACAATAATTAAAGCAGTTATAGCTGTTTCAAAGCTGACGTGGATGAAAATGGCTCCCAACTATCCCCGCAGGGCTGTATGTATGTTATTGCTTTGCTTTCAGGACAGCCAGGTACAGCTTACAAAGCAGCTATCTATGCCTTGCAAAAACACTGCTGCTCTAATAATTCAAAAAGAGGTGCTTTGCTGATAATCTTGCATGTGAAATACACAGCACTAGTTTATAGATTTGCCATCGTTTTGTGATAACATAAAGGTAGGCCTTTAGCTTGTCTAGCTCTGTGAATGAATGCTCACTAAAGTCCAAACCTCAGCATGATCAAGGGCCAGCCATGTGTGCTGGAGTGCCGAGAGAATATTCATAAAATCTGGAAAAGCTAAAGTTGGTGAAGGATGGATCAAGAGAGATTTATTTTCATCTGAGTAATTTATGAACGTTTTTGAAAACTCATACAATCGCTGTTGACGTTTTTTGTTTCACGATATTTTATTAATAAAAAATAAAAAGGAAAAATCCCCGAAGTGTCTGTATTTGTTTCTTTTTGCTTTTTTTGCTTGCAATTTTATTCAATAAAAAAGATGTTAAAAATAAAAAAAATCAGTAAATATTTTTAGGTTACATTCTTTTTCAGCAAGAATTAATATTTTAAAAATGTCCTCTTTACATTATATTGCAGATACAGTGAAATTAATGCTTTATTTTAATATGTTTGTTCCATTTAGGTAAGAAGCAATTGCATGCATAAACTTCGATATTTAATATTTTCAGAGGTTTATTTTCTTTTGAAATTTATCTCATGGGAGTTGGAGAAGGGAAGTGGGCTTATAGTCAAAAGATTTGCTGTTCAACTTAAGAAAAACAAACATACAGGTATGGCTCTAACATTTCAGTGCTTTGCAGAATTGATTAATATAGATCAGCTAGGGATGACTGTAATGATTAATGGCTTGAATTTATCAGTGTATGTATAATCTGTAAATATCTGTCTTGTATATTGTTCTTTTTTTAACTATTTCTCTTTTGTAATTTTATAATCTTGTGTAGTTCTTGTTTTTGGATTTAGTTAATTAAATATCTGTCTTGTATATTGTTCTTTTTTTAACTATTTCTTTTTTGTAATTTTATAATCTTGTATAGTTCTTGTTTTTGGATTTAGTTAATTAAAAAGCCCCAAACCATAAATAAAAGGTATGAATATATTTTAATACATTAGGAAAAATTGAATTTTAGTATAATTTATTTGTAAATGGAAACATTCTTTTT